AAATAATTATTATTTGATATATCGTCATTACATTTTTTATTCTTAAGGTTAAAAAAAATCCAAGCTTTTGTTTTTGAAATTAACCGTATCGTAATAATTAAATAATCATAACCGTATTTAACCGTAACCGTTGTAACCGTAACCGTATTTAACCGTAACCGTTTTAACCGTGTATATAGTGGTTAAGGTTACGGTTAGAGAAAATTTATAACCGTAACCGGTGGTTAATAAACCGTAACCGCAATAACCGTAACCGTGGTCATGCCTAGCTTCTGTCCATTGGTGTGGAGTAGGCATGACCACGGTTACGGTTGATTAATCGTCGGTTACGGTTATAAATTTTTTTTAACCGTAAACTTAACCACTATATATACGGTTACGGTTAAATACGGTTACGGTTATTTGATGATTACGATACGGTTAATATTGGAGTAAAATCTTACGAGTTAACTAACTTTTTATACTATTTTTAATAAGATGAAAAAGTATGTTATAAACCAAATTTTCTTCATTTTTAGCAATATAGCATTAGAACATATTTGTTTGAGAAAAAACCATTTTTCCTAACGTAGATTTTTTAATGTGCGGTATCATTTACTTTTTTGAAAATCTTTATCTGAACATTCGATATTTGTTTTTGCATTATACGCAGCTACAATTATATTTTTAAAGTTTAACTATGCGGTTAATAGTGCGGTTAACCGTGCGGTTAACCGTACGGTTAACTAACGGTTTTGACACGTTTACGGTTAATTAACGGTTACGGTTAGTATATTTTTTAACCGTAACTAATCTACTTTGACGGTTAACGGTTACGGTTTTTAACCGTTTTACACGGTTACGGTTGAGAAACGGTTCGGTTACGGTTCGAAATACGGTTACGGTTAGCTTTTGGTCATGTGTAGTGTGGAGGACACTCAATTTCATAAATAAAAGAGAAGTTATCAAAGAAATTACGAATTTGACATTTTAGGGCCTGATATTGGGCCCTTAACTTTATAAACGGGCCGAGACTGAGATTTCGGTTTTCCGATACTCGCAACAAATTCGTTCAAAACAGTAATTGTATCTAAATCGCGCTAACATTTTATCATCCCACCTAATATTGTGGGATGTGCAACGTGAAGGCCATAACATTGATACTAATACTATATTAAAAGGTGTATGTTTATATATGGGACTCCAAAGAACTCGGACATGTTTTCAACGATCAAAATCACACCAAACCAATTCAACATTTTCCTGCAACTCTTTAATACACAAAGAACCAAGAAGAAGAAAAAACTCTTTTTATTTCTCTTTTGAATCTGTTTATTGATCGGTGAGACATAACCAAATTTTCAACGGTTGATTTTCTTTTTATCAATTTTTTTCAATTTGAGATTGTTAATCAGAGATTTCCTCTGTTTCGTTTCGTGTCTGATATGCTTTTGTATGCTCGATAGATCGATACTTAAATCATAAAGGATCTTCTTTTCAGGTTTGGCCTCAAAACCCTAATGTTGCTTCTTCTTGATCTATATATATCTTATTGTTCTTTGGTCTCATTTTGATTGGTTTTGTTTCCCAGCATTCATAAATCTCTCAAGTCGTGTGGAACAATTATTGTGTTGGTTTTATTGAGAGATAAAGAGATTTTGAGGATTTTTCACAACAACATTGTTTGTTTGTCTGATGGAGCAATTCAGACAAATCGGCGAAGTTCTTGGAAGTCTAAATGCACTAATGGTATTACAAGATGATATCTTGATCAACCAAAGACAATGTTGTTTGTTGTTAGAACTCTTCAGTTTAGCTTTCAACACGGTCGCAGAAGAGATCAGACAGAATCTGAAGCTTGAAGAGAAGCATACTAAATGGAGAGCTCTTGAACAACCTTTAAGGGAGCTTTATAGAGTGTTTAAAGAAGGAGAGTTATATGTTAAGCATTGTATGGATAATAGTGATTGGTGGGGTAAAGTTATCAATCTTCATCAGAATAAAGATTGTGTTGAGTTTCATATACACAACTTGTTCTGTTATTTCTCTGCGGTTGTTGAAGCGATCGAGGCTGCTGGTGAGATTTCGGGTCTTGACCCTTCTGAGATGGAGAGAAGGAGAGTTGTGTTTTCAAGAAAGTATGATAGAGAGTGGAATGATCCTAAGCTGTTTCAATGGAGGTTTGGGAAACAGTATTTGGTATCGCGGGATATTTGCAGCCGGTTTGAGCATTCTTGGAGAGAGGATAGATGGAATCTAGTGGAGGCATTACAAGAGAAGAGGAAATCGGAGAGCGATGATATTGGAAAGACCGAGAAGCGTTTAGCGGATTTGCTTTTGAAGAAGTTAACCGGTTTGGAGCAGTTTAACGGGAAACTGTTTCCGAGTTCGATACTTATTGGTTCAAAGGATTACCAGGTGAAAAGACGGTTAGATGCAGATGGACAATACAAGGAGATTCAATGGCTAGGTGATAGCTTTGCGGTGAGGCACTTTTTCAGCGATCTTGAGCCGCTAAGTTCTGAAATTTCTTCTCTGTTATCGCTTTGTCATTCGAATATACTTCAGTACCTTTGTGGATTCTATGATGAAGAAAGGAAAGAATGCTTTTTGGTTATGGAGTTAATGCACAAAGATTTGCAGAGCTACATGAAGGAGAATTGTGGACCAAGAAGAAGATATCTGTTCTCGATTCCTGTCGTGATTGATATCATGCTGCAAATTGCAAGGGGAATGGAATATCTTCATGGAAATGATATCTTCCATGGAGATTTAAACCCCATGAACATTCATTTGAAAGAGAGGAGTCACACCGAAGGTTATTTCCACGCGAAAATATCGGGATTCGGTTTGTCTTCAGTCGTTAAAGCGCAGTCTTCTCGGTCTTCCTCGAAACCAGGAACTCCTGATCCTGTGATCTGGTATGCACCTGAAGTTCTAACAGAGATGGAACAAGACCTGAATGGTAAAACTCCGAAATCAAAGTTGACGCATAAAGCTGATGTGTATAGCTTTGCAATGGTGTGTTTTGAGCTTATAACAGGTAAAGTTCCATTTGAAGATAGTCATCTTCAAGGTGAACCAATGGCTATCAACATTAGAATGGGAGAGAGACCTCTTTTCCCTTTCCCTTCACCAAAATATCTCGTTAGTCTGATCAAACGTTGTTGGCACTCAGAACCGAGTCAGCGTCCTAACTTCTCTTCGATTTGTCGGATACTTCGCTACATCAAGAAGTTCCTAGTTGTTAATCCAGATCATGGTCACCCTCAAATGCAAACTCCACTAGTTGATTGTTGGGATTTAGAAGCAAGGTTCTTGAGAAAGTTTCCAGGAGATGCAGGGTCTCACACCGCGTCCGTGAATCAAATCCCGTTCCAACTATACTCATACCGGGTTTCGGAAAGAGAGAAGATGAATCCAAACTCAAAAGAAAGCTCAGAGGCAAGTGATCAATCTGAAAGCGTTTCAGTGGTTGAAGATCCACCTAATGCCATGATTACAAGAGATACAAAATCATTGTGTCTAGATACAATATCTGAATACTCAGATACAAGATCAGTCTACTCAGAAGCTCCCATCAAAAAGGTCTCAGCTTTAAAGAAAAGCGGTGAAATGGCAAAGCTCCGAAGAAGTCCAAGCTTAGGTTAGTTTATTATTATACCCTAATCTCTATATTGCCATGATTTGGGTTGATAGATGAGCACAAAGACAAGTATGTTTATGTTAATATATTATCAATGCAGGTTCAGAAAAGTTGAGATCTACAGGAACTTCACCGGTAAAAGCAAGATCATCGCCAAAAGTATCAGTATTGAGTCCATTTGGAAGAAGCATTAAAGCAAGGAAAGATAATCGATTGCCTTTGAGTCCAATGAGTCCTTTAAGCCCAGGAATACGTAGACAACATACTGGTCATGCTTCAGACTCTGAGCTTACTTAGCTTTTCATCAAAAAACCAGACAAGAAGAAGAAGATCCATGAAAAAGCAGAGTTCATAGCTTTTGGTCAGTATTGAAAACAGAGTTCATAGCTTTTGGTCAGTATTGAAAAATGAAAACAGAGTTCATAGTTTCAGACATGAAAAACACAAAGAAAAGATCTTTGCATACATTTTTGTGGTTAATTTTAGAAGCTTCTTTTGGGATTTTGTCTTCAAGAGTATGGTTTTATTTGTTCTTCTTTCTTTTTTTTTTGTAGCTTCTCGGTAATTTTTTGGATTTGGTTATGAAATCAAGAACACATTCAAATGTTGTAAAAGTTTTCTTTTGTACAAAACAGAAATGCATCAGCTTTTTTTACGAGATTAAAATTCATTTATTTTATTTTTGTTTTGTTTCTTTAAAACATTCACAGCAGTGAATGTTTGTAGCTTTTAGGATAGTTTTTGAACAATCATCATTATTTATTCATCATTAAAAAGGTTTCTCTAGTATTTGATTTTCGTAACCAATTTTTAAAGAAAATGTAAAAACCTTATTATATTTGGATTTTTTTCCTTTAAAATTTCCTTTTTCTTATAGATTATTTTTAACATTTATTAACGTAAAATACTATAAAATTAATATATTAATAAATCAAAATTGGATATATGTGCATCAGAATTTCAAAAAAAAAAAAATTGACATCTGTGATCAGATACCTATAAATATTTTATGACTTTTAATTTAATTAAAATATAATCTTTTTTATTAATATATATTTAGATATTCATTTTACTTACTTTAAATTTAAAACCGAAAAAATCAGCACATTATCATTCAATTTTTTGTCAAAAAAGATCTACATTAACAAAAACCAAAACTAGAAGAAGACCATTATCTAAGAAAACTCATTAAAAACTTACTGCTATTAGAAACCTAAGTCTTAATTAAAGGCAGTGATTTGTCGTAGAAAAAAAGGAAATTAATAAAAATCAAAAAAGGGAAATCAAACACAAAAAGGAAACATTGTGTCTTATCATCGTCGTAACGTTTAGTAAAAATATATAAATGGCAAACTGTAAAAAGGAAACCTTGTACCCTAAGTCTCCTCTACCTTAGCATATCAGGGTAACTCCTTTCTTTATAAGTCCTTTCAGATACGAGAAACTTTTTCTATCTGATCGAACCAAAATTTATCCGGCAATGATGAGGAATCCTCCGATGAACGACGATGTGATGCTAGAGATCATGTCTTATTGTCCTGCAACGGAGATGGCAAAATTTCGTTTACTAAACAAAGAATGCAACAAACGAAGTTATGAGATGAGTTTTATCAATCGTCATCTCCATAGAACCAACTCTTTTCTCGGCTATATCTTTTATTACAAAGACAAGTGGTTTAGGAATCGCTCCTGTTTTGTCTCCGGCGTCGATGAGAAAGAAATATACCGAATCAATCTTGCATATCTTCCTCCTCGTTGTAATCCATCTATCGAAGCTTGTGATACACATCATGGGATTTTGCTCTGTGTCGATGATGTGTTTAAAGGTGGGAAAAGGATACCGGATTACATCGTTTGCAAACCGGCTACAAAACAGTACCGGATCATACCAAACCCGAAGACCAGGTTTGGCACTGTTGCAACCGGTTTAATGGTGATTTCGTCTAACCCGTTTCGGTACAAGATCATTAGGGTTTCTGTTACAGGGGCAACAGTGAGTAGGGATGGTGTCTATAATCTTGCTTGTGAAGTTTATGATTCTGATTCGGATGCATGGAAGCGACTAAATCATTTAGTATCATCAGAGTTTTCTCATAGACCAGTTAAACCGGCCGTATCGGCCTACGGTTGCTTGCATTGGTTATCAGAGAAGAACAATGTGATGCGGTTCTGTATGCGAACCGAAACTTGGTCTATCTTTCCGGTTCCAGACGATGTCACAAGCGATTATTATAATGTTATGTTGGTCAACTACGAAGGGAAGCTAGGTGTGATCCAGTCAAGATGTGGAGAAGGATCCAATATATGGGTTTTGGAGAAAAGTTTTGGAACTACGTGGGTTAAAGTGAAAGATACGAAAATCGCAGCGGTAGAAGATGATTGCTACAATTCACAACCTATATGGTTCCCAAGTAACGACACTGTATCAAGATCGTCTAGTGGTAGGCTTAGTCTCTACAACATGAGTAACAACAAGTATCGTTATTTGCATACGAAGCAAGATTTCTACCCTAGCCATTGGCCGGCCGGAAAATATTTTGTCCCTTTCTACTCAAACTACGAGAGAGTTTGTTTCAATAAAAATGATGTTGAAGGGAAAGAAAGGAGCGAGAGAGGAACAAGAGACGGGATTATAGAGGAGAAGAAGGAATATGAAGAGAAATTAAAGATGATTCTTATGCAAGTATTTCTTGTTGTTATCATGTTGTTATTTAGCTCTCTTTTCTTCATATCCCCAACTCTCTAAGAGATTTCTTCTTTGTTTAAGTTTAATAAATATGTTTAATAAATATGTAAAACAATATCATTACCTTTTGGCTATTAATAAAGAACGGCTATAGCCTATAGAAGAGACTATATAATTATTATAAACTCTTTTTTTTTTTTTTTTTGTATGAATGTAAAATTATATTCAACAAAAAAACGGTTTTACAATAAATGCAACATCAAAGATAGAGAGCTTGAAGAAAAAAACTAGACAACTTAATCATTATCGGATCTACGGGAGTGGAACCAATACCGCAGTCCGCTTTCAAACTTAGCGATACCCATTTGGTTTATGGTGCTGAACCGGTTTCGAACATTATTATAAACTCTTGGTTTACAAAAAAAATAATATATATATTATAAACTCTTAATGGGAATAATATTAATATTTTTGGAGTTCTTATTTATAATATTGATATGTGTATCTAGAAAAGACTATGTAACATCAATATTTAATAGATCTAAGAGCATGATTAACAATGGTATCTTAAAAATGGTTCTTAAGTATTAAAATTAAGAACTCTTAGTTTTGGGTCTTAGCTAAGCCACTTTTCTTAGTTTTGGGTCTTAGCTAAGCCACATTTTTTACTTAAGAACTCTTTAAGATACCCTTGTTAATGGTGGTCTAAAGTCTCGCTCGATTTTTTACCGTTAGTGAAGGTAAAGATCGAAGCTTGTGACCCAAGTCATGGGATTTTGCTCTGTGTTGATCCTAAGTGCTATGGAAGAATAACGTATAAGTCTTCCATATTCATTAATTCCGTTAATTATTTCCCTTTTTACTCTTGACTATGAAAGACTTAAATCTGAACGAATATCTAATAGTTGTTAGACAATAAAAGAGTGTGACCAATAATAGGCAAAAGATAAGATCCACCAACTTCTTTTGCCGCTTCTCATAAATCCGAATTATCCCCTAAAACTTACTTAGCTATAAGCAGAGCCGTTTTGCGGTGTGTATAGCACGACTTCCAGGAGGAAACAGTCTTGGAACTTTGAAACTTCCTGGCCAATCAGAGACTCCCGGGAGCGGATTAAAAGCAGCAGCATAAACTCCAAGAAAACTTTCTGTATTGTAGAATTCATTTACATATTGCAAATGGTCAATGTTCAGCCTCCTGCAAACAGCTATCACGTGCGAACACGGATGTTTGTAAAGTTGCCATATCCCACATGTGCAAGCCCGATCGCTGCGCTGAACAAAGAATTCCTTCTTTCCAACTTCCATCACTTCAGTGACCTGAAACCTCTGTCCAGACTGGTCTAATGGCAGTACATCGTGGGTTCTAGAAGTTACCTTGTACTCTTCAAGCTTTGTCATGACATGTTTAGCGTAGACCTCTCTTTTGTTTTTCATTGATTCCTCGAGAAGACCATGTCGCGACTTAAAAAGCTCTGCCAGGTGATCAAAGATTAGCAAGATACAAGTTGTGACTGGAAGATTACGGGCTTTGTTTATGAAATCATAAGTCCTAAAGATTGTGTTTGTAGTCAAGACGACCCCGAATCTCAGCCCGCCAACATCATGAGCCAGAGTCCATTGATGCAGAGGCAATTTGTCTAACCATATCCGAGCCTCGGGATTCATCTTTTCGAGTTTCTTCAAGTAGTAATCAACTCTTGATTTGTAACTCGTGGATCCAGCCTTGTAAACATACTCTGTCATGAGGTTGTTTTGGAAAACTTCATAAAATTTACAGCACAGATGCCTAAGACAGACCCGGTGTTGTGCCCAATGACACTCAGGTTCGTTAACAACTGCAACAATGTCCGGATTTGGACTTGTTATTAGACAAAGGCCTTCCCTTTGCGTTACTTTCTTTCTGATGCACCTAAAGAACCAACGCCAAGTACTAGCTGACAAACTTTCTTCGGTAATAATCGCAAACGCAAGTGGGAAAAGCATGTTTTCGGCATCAAGTCCTACAGCAACCAACATTTTCCCACGGTAATTACCGCTCAAGTCTACAGAATCCACAAGTATAAGAGGTCTGCAGTAAGGAAACCCTTCAATTGACTGCTGAAACGCCCAAAACACGGAATGAAAGGAGGCACCTTTGGTAGCAGGAAAATGATCATGTTGCCATTCCACTAGCATCTCGTTAGATGAACTAAGGGCAGCCATGAACTTGGGCAATAAGCTAAAACTCTTGTTCAAGTCTCCCGAGATTGCAGTGAACGCTTTCTTTTTAGCATTCCACATAATATCACCTGAGACTGTGTAACCAAACTCATCTTTCACCCACTTGTTCAGCTCTGTAATTGAGAGCGAGGGCTGAGCCTTTATTAGACCTTCGATCTCACTTGCTAGAAAATCTGAGCTCACATCTTCTGGCTTACAGCTATGCGGACCGGTATGTTCTATTATCTCAAAGCCATTGCTCTCCGTTTTAGCTACCTTGAGAGCCCATCCACATTGTCTCCTGCATTCAAAAGTTGATGTATATTCATATGCAATGTACTTACGTTGCCTTCTATTAGAGTACAACCTCACTGCTTTCGCCAGCTCATCTTTATCTCTAAAACGCATCCCAACCTGCAACTCACATTCCTCGAGCCATAAACTAGAGAAAATCACATTTCCACAGTTTCCAGCATCTGTACTCTGCTCATACTCAATCAACCCGTTATTGTTATGCTCTTGCGGCGTTCTTAGCATGTTATTTCTCACAGTCACATTTACATCAGCATCAACATAAGCAGCTTCTGTCAAAGAAGACTTTTGGGTCGACTGATTCGCCGAAGAATTAACATTATTTGCCAACGGCGACTGATGAGAAACAGGACCAGAAACCTGATTGACCTCTAAGTACAACTCCACATTGTTGATACAAGGATGGTAGCTTGGAACCTCAAGCATGGTCTCAAGGCTACATTCATCAACAACGGGCAAACGCATATACTTGACCATCGGTTGCTGAACAATGGAAGGGTACCTACCAATCAAATCAATCTGAAACTTCCCCCTTTCGAATCCAGTAACTCGATGCAGATCATCTAACAATTTGGATAATTCAATCTTACTATCAACTCTAATCACTCTTGGACTTGACCCTTCGTAAAATGGACCATCAGGACCGTCTTTTATGCAACCATTCCAATAACAGAACACTGGAACCTTTCTTGTATCCATGAGCACCTTCAGAAACTGCAAGGAAACACGAAAATTAATAAAGGGTTCGGATTGAAAATACCCAATTTCAACTCTAAAACCCTAAAACTCAATTTCAAACGATAAAGGAGAAAGCTTTGGAAAAGACAAGGTGATTTACATGAACCCAGCAAAAGGATAACTTGTCGAATGCGATAACTTGGAACTAGGAGGATAAAGACAACAATGATATATTTTAAGGCGGGAAAATCTCAAAGAGAAGTGTAAGAACTTATGGATTTGAATCGGAATAGAGACAAAGCAATGTTCCTGATTTCGGAACACTAAAATTCAATTTTCATAAGATGAAAGTAGCGAGGAACACTAAACTAGTACGCCATGGAAATAAAGGAGAAAGCTTTTCCAAAAGAGAAACCCTAATTTGAAGAAGATACCAATGATTTCTCCATAAAGGCTAAGATTTCGTTTCTGGTTTCTTCAATTATATAGTGAACCGGTGTAAACCGGAATAGATCGGTTATTATTTAGCGTTTAAGTACAATTTAATTGGAGCTAATGTTACCGATTCAATATGTTCCTCAGTGGTTCGAATCGGTACTTGAGTGCTATGTCGGCTCTTCCATTATTGTTTACAAGGTAATTTAAATTACCTTTCTTTTGTGTTTTTGATTAAATTCTTTTTTTTAAGTAACAGTAATAAATATTAATAGTATCAGAATTTCCGGAAATTACTTTTTTTTGAGTGTTAGTGTTAGGGTTAAAAAATAAATCATTTAATCAATTCATTCGAAAATCAAGATAAGTAGCCCGGTATTGAACTGAACCGGACTAGACCAAAATATGCATGCACCCAGCAAGATATGCACTTGCAAGATTCAATTTTTGGTTACAAAAATCAAATCATAGGAAAACAAACACAACTGAAATGAACAAATACTTGTACATTAGCAAAATACAAAAGTACATCTCCGCACCAAAAGAAAAAACTACTTTGCACAAACATTACATGAACCAAACCGGTTTTGTACACCCTCCCAAAAACCTACATTAACCCGGTTAGCATACACTTCTAACTTGGTTCATCCACCAAATTCCGCTTCTAAGTTTTCCCTAAAATCAAATGTAAAATCAGTAAGCAAACAAACATAGCCATCTTCTCGATGGATATCATATCTTCTACCATTCAAAGGCCTTATATGCCATATTTACTGTTCGGTTTCTTCGGTCGCCCTGATCGTCTAGTTTCGCTTTGTCCACTCGCTCCCGTGTTCGCATCACTTGCCTTAGCTGAGTTGTTGCGGGGTTGTCACTGGCTTGACAGCTGATCTCGGAGGACTTCCAGGAGGAAATGGTCTTGGAACTTCGGAAGCTTCTAGCCAATCAGAGACTCCCGGAAGAGGATTAAAGACAGCTGCGTAAACTCCTCGAAAACTCTCTGTCTTGTAGAAGTCATTTAGTAAAAAAAAAGGTATTTTAAAAACTTTAAGATATTTTTAGTATGAAAAAGGCCCAAATATTTTTTTTAGTATGAAAAAATCAATTTTTAAGATTTTTTTAATATGAAAAAGGCCCATTTTTTTTTTTTATGTATGAAGAAAGGGCCTATTTTTAAAATTTGTACAGGGACTCCAAATTAGTTGAGCCGGCCCTGATAAATATTTTAGTACGATAAATATAAGTTAACCATATAACTTTTAAAGTTACCATGATACAATATGATTTATCATATTATTATTTTTATTAGCGCTTACAAATAACTGAGGGTGGTTTGGACATTAATTGGGTCAAAGGAAAGAGAACTAATTAAAAAATAAGTAGGATAGATTTTTAATTTTTCAGTCTTCTATGCATATCAATTAATATAGGCCTAAACCAATTGGGCCAAGGCCCAACTGACAGACTTCCCAAACAAATGTGTTTTTTGTTTCCAGGGAGAATCGAACTCGGGTCTGGGAGTTTCACCCTTCACCAAAGCTTCCTCTGCCACTAGACCACAGAGGCTTGGGACTCTCTCTGTCTTGTAGAAGTCATTTACATACTGCAAATGGTCAAAGTTCAGCCTCCTGCAAACAGCTATCACGTGTGAACACGGATACTTGTAAACTTGCCATGTCTGACACGTGCAAACCCCATCGCTGCAGTGAACAAAAAATTTCTTGTTTGCAGGTTGCATCACTTAAGGTCTCACACTTAAGCCATTAAGTCTACAGTTTACGGGTTAGCTTTTAATTTTGAGTTACAGTTGAATAAATTGTAATTAGGATTTGCATTATAGTTCTTGAGCAACATTTCATTTGTAACCACTAGTTTTGAGTTTTGAACTTCCTTTACTATTTTCTTTTTCTTTGGCTAACTTGGGCGACTCAAATATGCGTTGCTAGAAGATATTCGTTAAATTAAATATTTAAGCTTAAAACTTAAAGATACAAAGATATTGTTCCTCTAAAGAAGAAGTTCCCCTTAAGCTCTATTTCAACCGTAGATTACTACTAACCGTACCAGAACAAATAACTCATGCTAAATCTAAATAAATTGTATGAATGAATCGGTTTGCGCACGAAAGTTGGCAAAATTAAATCAGTAAGATAGTTGCCAAAATCAGTTGATAATTAAGAACCTGGAATAAACTTACGAAAACAGATTTGAGTTCATAAAGATCTTTTGCTAGATCTTAAGATGTCATGATACCTCTAAAATTATCTTAACAGATATTGCAAACACAAAGGTGTCATAATATAGGAATGCCGAAAATTGGTTAACAGTCCAAATCTGAAAATTTGTGAATACGAACCAAATGCCAAATCTAGAAAACGGTAATAAAATCATATGATAAAATTGAATAGATGGTTTTTGCGCCAAAGTTTGTTAAAAAAAAACCAAGTTCAAATAGACCTTCTACCGCGAAATTCTGTTGGAAAAACTAAGCTTGATTCTTACCAAACAGAAACAAGGTGGAAAACTTTTGGAACATATATATATTCAGGTTTCAAAATAAGGTTTGTTTATCTGGATCTTGTTGCCTCTAAAATGTAATCTAACAAACAGCTGCAAACACATAGAGTATGTCATATGAAATAAAGTATTTGTTTCTTTTCTACTTTCATAAAGAATCACTAGAAGATTATATTTCCATGGGTAACTGAAGACATTTTATGCATCGTCCCTTTGTGTTTCTCGTATGCATAAATTAATCTAAAGCAAATATAACAGTTAGTTACCCATCATAATCATAGTAGATACCATCATCAACAACTTCAACCAGTTCGACTTCAAAAACCAGCCAAGCATGACGAGGAACCCGTTTACCAACAAACCTGTGAACCAACATTCCCATTAAGAGGTTAGACAAAGGTGCAAAATGATAAACTAGTAAAGACTCGGGAAATATATATGAAAATCACGATTGGCGATTGATTTACCCGTATACTGGAGGAACGGTAATCTTTCTTATCTCACCAACATGCATGCCTATGGTTATTCAAAAAAAAATTGAGATCAAAACAAAATGATTTGTACAAAGTGAATAAACCAGTACGAAATTAGTTTCATACCTGTTATGCCAAAACTGAATCCCAAACCAAGTTTATGATCACCTCCTGCACATTGAAAGAAACGGACAAGTATCAAGTACCCTGTCGCAGAATGTAATTCACAGAATGTAATACTAACCTAGGCAGAACGTTTTTGGTCTTTTGCTGAATTTGGAATCGAAAATCTCCCCATTCTTCTGAAGCTTTCCAGTGTAGAGAGCACGAATCCATTTTCCTGGAACAGCTATCTTACCATCCGGTTTACCCTTGACCAACACTTCAATGGTGAGACCATTATCGTGTGTTGTCACATCAGAAGTGGCTTCAATCATTGAGCTTCCAGCACTATGAGGCACATAAATAGACAAAATCTAATAAATGACTAGTTATAACAGGAGAAGATATCACGAGGAAACACCATCATTTTCAAAAGATTCAATAGTTATAAAGAAAATTTCAATCTTTGGCAGGCCACATAGATTTTAATATCTAAATGGAGCAGGTTTTTTTTACCTAACATCAAGCAGTTCGACTTCAAAAACTAGCCAAGCATTAGGAGGAACCAGTTTACCATCACCGCCCTTGCCATACCTGTGTGAATCAGACAAGAACCATGAGGTTAAACAAATGTGCAAAATGATCAACTAGTAAGACTCAGGAAACATATACCCCATAAGTGGAGGAACTGTAATCCTTCTTTTGCCACCAACAAGCATGCCTGTGTTATTCAAAAAATACATTTGAGAGATATAATACAACATATGTACAGTAGAACAAAGTGGTGAAGAAACAGTGAGAATTACCTTCAACACCAGATTCGACTCCTGGAAGAAAACCTGTATCAAGTAACCCAGTAACAAAATGTACAAGCATGTCTGTGTTATTCAAAAATACTTGAGATAAAAAAAAATAACGTGAAGAAACAGTAAGAAACCTCCAACACCAAATTCGAATGCCTGAAGAACTTCTCCAGAACCTGTATCAAGTACCCAGTCACAAAATGTAATTCTCAAGAGATTGATATTTTTTTGAATCTAGTTACAATACTAACCTAGAATAAACTCAAACGGTGTTTTTGAATAGTCAACAAAGATCTTCCCATTCTTCTGAAGCTTTCCAATGTAGCGAACACTAATCCGTGCTCCAGGAACGGCTTTCTTGCCGTCCGGTTTACCCTTGACCAACTCTTCAAGCTTGTACCCGTTGGTGTTGCTAAATATCACACTCGGAATGGTTCCACTCTTGTGTTTTGTAGTGCTACGTAACTCCATCTTCTGTTCCCCAAATCCTGCAAACATTAAAAAAAAAAGCGACAATCAGAGCCAATAGTATCGTGAAATCAAAGAAAAGAGCATCGTTAAGCACACTGATTCGCACCATTCTTCAAAAATTCAAAAACTGTAACACACATAAACCAACGCTCAATTAAACTTTCAAATATAAATAGTAAAACTTTTATACATAGACAAAACAAAACAAAAAAAGAAGTTGCATTATTACAAGGGAGTATTAATTAACCAATTTACTCTTTAGACAAAACCACGTTCATGGCCAACTCATGTCATGTTAGAGGAGAGACTAAGCATAAACGCCATCACATCACATCATCTATCCATATGTGAAGCTTTTATCAAAAACAAACCAATTCTGTGAGGCATTTCATCAAACACGTGGTTGGCATCAACAATTTCAAGCTCTAAACTCGTCAAAACCATTCAGTTGTTAATTCATAAACCTAGTAATCATTCAAATTGGAACCATAATTCTCAATTCATTACACTAAGAACAAAACGAGTGAAATATGGACAAACCCACAAGCTGAAATATGAACAAAACTCAATGCTAAGATTGTTTCAGAAATTCACCTCTAAATTGTGGCGGATTGTTGGTGAGACTCGAGACTGGTTCATACCAAAAAGGATAAACACCAACACGATGATGATGATTGTTGCTCATACAACGGAGCTCCGGTTCGTGACAAGTCCCGATGATGAGTCCAACCTTCCGATTCTGAAGCCGTAACAGAGACTCAGAGAGGAGACAAAAAGAGATTTAATTTTTCCCCAAAATTGAATAACCCTAGTTTTTAATGAATCTGGGCCAACCAATTGTCCGTATGGGCTAGCCCATTATGTCCATGGACAAAATTGGTCTTTAGACCAGATGACCCATTTTATTTATGGGCTGACCACGGACCGTCCATAGTATTTTGGACTGGGCTTAGCCCATGGTCAGATGACCATTTGACAGTTCTAAGTAAAAGGAGATATCTCAACAAAAAAAAACATCAGATTCAAAGGTCACAAACATGTAAGACCTCAAAAAAGTATCAACCAATACAGATCCATCGAAACAAGACCACGCCTCATCATTTAACACTATGGCATATTAGCATCTAATCACGAGTCAAAGGAAGCAGTATAGATCGAAGATTAAACGGATGTTAAACTCGAATAAGCGATAATCACAGTCAAATAAACAGCTAAAAGATGTGAATCTAAGGACTAAACAGCATCAAAGATGAAAAGAAGATGAAGATCGAAAAACTAAAGAGAAATTTTTCTCACCTGCAAGTAAGAATCTGAGAGGAGTCTTGCGGCTACGAAAGTGAGAGTATGAGAGCGAAACCCTAAAACTGCACGACTCAATTACGGTTCAATTCAGAGTCATAAAAATAAAAAATAAAGTCACTACGGTTCAATTCACACTTGCTAAACTGGAGCACAAAGAATTGGAAAACCGGTTAACTTAAGCTGGCTCAAATCAGGTCAATCAAATTTTAAAACAAACTAGTATTGGACCCGCGGATTGATGTTTTCGTATTTGATGGTGTTCATATTAAAAATAATTTTATTTTTTAGTTTTAATAGTTTGATTTGCGTATATTTTAAAATCTTATATTGTTATCAATAATTTTATAGAGTTCATAGAATCGATGAGTCTTAATTTATTCGTGTTTTCCGTTCCGTTTTCATTCACGTAAAATCTCGTCCTAAATTCATGGTCCCGTTCCTGTCTCGGATTTTGACTGGGAAATTTCTGTCTTGTTTCCGTTCCCGTACACTCCCGTCTTAAATTCACGGTCATGTTCCATCCTGTTCCCCTCCCAGATTTTAACTGGAACAAAAATAGAATTTTTTTTCCCGATTTCCAAATTTACATCCCGTTTCCGTAAAATCTCGTCATAAATTTTCGGTCTCGTCCCGTCCTGTTTCATCCCGTTCCCGTCCCGAATTTTAACTGAGACATAAATGGACCGTTTTTCAATTTCTAAATTTTCGTCCCGTTTCCATCCCGTAAAATCTCGTCTTAAATTCTTGGTCCCTTCCCAAACCATCCCGTTCCCATCCCGAATTTTAACTGGGAAATTTTCTTCTATTTTAAGAATTTGGAAATTTGTGTGTATCAGACATAGATGTACATTTCTAAACCTTATATTGTTTATCAAAAATCTTATCTTATAGTGTTTATAAAATTTTTAATTTTATTTCATTTAATGTAAAAATCGATGACCCTTCAATTTTTTGTGTTTTGCATCAGTATACGTTTAAGGATCATATTTTATCAAGTTTCTTATGAATTGTGTTGTTTTAGGATTTAATTGTTTTACCAAATTGTTTTTTTCTCCTCACATAATAATTTTAAGTGTTATAATTAAATAATATTATGTTTTATAAAATTATTATATTTCAAGTAAGTTTTCCAAAATATAACTAATAAAAATATTATATGATTGGTTAATATTCATGAGTAATGGCTTATATGAGTATATATAGTTGTTGTTTGTTGTATGAGTTATAAGGTATGTAAATTAGGTAGTGTTCAAAATTATGCTTTAACAAAATAGTGAAAGTATCATCAGTTCGATGGAAGGTGTGAGCTGCAATGCTTCTATTATCTCTAATGCTATCAACCTTCTGCCTTTTATGCTCACAACAGAAGGCACTGCTCCAATAACCTGGAACTGATTGAATCGTATGGTCTCCTTGTCTTGATCTCTATCTCCTACCTGAAACAGAAAGATAATAATGTCAAGAGTCAAGTTCATCTAAACAAGAACATGCAGTAATCTTCCTGATAGCTTAATTCACATAAGCTTCTAACGCTAAGGCAATCTACATTCTCACCAGAATCAATTTGAGTTCACTTGGCCAATATTACAAGTTGTTCGTATCAAACTCTACTCTTTCGAGGAACAGAGTATGGTCCCTGGAACTTCAGTCTTCAAACTCAGATAATCCATCTCTTTAGAATGTTGACAAAGCAATGAAGAAATATAAAGCTTAGTCTATTAAACCAAAACGGTGTAACTCATACAGAACCTAGTGTAGTGACAATATTGGAATATGCTTTGTCTACTATTATTCACAAACTCACAAGGTTTTGCAAAACAAAACAGATTTTTGCACATAGATTTTGTAAATACCAATTAATCTCCATATCTCCTACTAATTTCTCTACTCTAAGACGTGTAACTCATTCACTCATTTACTAAGCTTATAGACAAAGAGGTGTCACTTATTCAAATTCACAAACTCACAAAGGTTTTGCAAGACGAAACAGATTTTTTTTTTGTAAATCCCAATTAATCTCCATACCTCCTAATACACATTCGTTTGCATTTAGGGACTTGAGCGACGGGGGAAGAGCCGGAATTGTCACGAGTTTCGGGCAGCATTCGTTTACTGGTGTTGATGTTTTCCATTTCAGAGAACTTGAAACCCTCTGCTTCATAGTCTCCATCTCCATCTGTGAGGTGATTATCGTCGCCTCCAGTTTCGTAGATACTCTCTTTCTCATCGATGTCCACTTCGTCAGAATACTCTGTCGTATTCATCTTCGTCAGAACTCCACTCTGTCGTATTCATCTTCTTCTCTTTTAGACCAAAAAACTTCCGAAGCCAACTCCTAAAACCTGTTTGTTTACTGGTTTTGATGTTTTCTTCTCCATTTCCATCTTCGCTGCTGCTACTCTCAGTATCATAGTTGTCCAATTGCCTGCTGCTGCTACCCTCAGCTTCCTCTGTCATGATCTGTACACCACACTCTATAATCTTGTCATTGCCGAAATCGCAGCTGAACTCAAATATAATCTCGCTCATGGTCACATCCACTTCATGGCATTTGTTTCCTTGGGGAAACAAATCGCCATGAAATATAAACAGATGTTTTGACCGAAAAGACAAAGACAGACATGGAGTGATACACAATCGTTTGCTTCTAGGAAATGGAGGGAGGGGGGAAGACCCGGAATTGACTCGAGTTTTTTGCATCTTTCGACCCTAAGCCATTCTAGACGAGTGAGACGTATGACACAATCTGGAATCGTCTCTATATCACTGTTTTCAAGAAATAGCCTAGTTATAAAGAGTGGTACATGTGTCAATCTCTTGAGGCTTCTGCTGCTAATGTTGAGGTGATCAAGACGAGACAAACATCCAGCAACTGATGGAGGGACATCTTCTATATCTGTATCTCTGAGATTGAGACCCTCGATGTTACTGGAGATATCTGGAAAAGTTCTCAACCGTGAGCAACCACCCATGTTGAGTCTCTCAAGAGATGCTAAGTTGATGTTGCTGGGAATAACTTGTAGCATAGAGCACCCTTCAACATTTAGAACCTTTAGTTTTTGTAGATTCTTAATAGAAGAGGGAAGCTCCACCAAACTGTGGCAGTACTCAAGTTTCAATTTCTCGAGATTAGTGGCTTTCGAAAGATCTGGGATTTCTTTCAACCTATGGGATCGATTCAGATCTATGCTCTTGAGATTAGGAAGGGGCTGCATGTTAAACACAACAAATGAGAAAATATCATATTATTTAAATTGAATCATTAGAAGCATTAGATAGAATAATCAAATACCAACCTGGATTCCTCCCCAGAGCTTCTCGAGCTTGCTGTGTGGCATATGAATTTCGACGAGACAGTCCGGGTGGAATCCCTGAGGAAGACTTTTTCTTGGGTAATTTTCCCAATGTAGTAACTTAACAGGAGGTAAATACTCCATATCTTCTGGTATTTGCAAACTACTTTCCCTACGAAAGATAGGATCGAAAGATTCAAAACTTGGCTGCTTATCCTTTGGATGTAGTAACAAAAGATTCAGAATTTCTTCTAATATTTCGAACGCAACTTATCTTTCTCTACATTCCTCCAAACTCCTATAGATTCTTAGGAATCGGAGATTACTCATTCCTTCAAAAGCCCCCTTACTTACCGAAACCTCTTCGATATTGGATGTATCATATGATATACCTATGACTGATTCAGTACCCTACAAAATATTCCCAAAGAAGACTGATGAGATTGTTATCACTAAAAATAGGCAATATCTAGAATTATATATGTAAGAACTTAAACTTACTGTTTCTTTTGTTAGTACATGACGAATCTCTTCTGCCTCAATTAAAAATTGACGTTTCCCGGGCTCGTCAGACTGTTCATGAACTATCCGTCTACCCAATTTTTGTAGTAGATAGTGGTGCATCACTATACGCCCATCGGTAGATATACGCACGAGAGATCTATCGGCTAGGATATTGAAACCATTTACAACATCCAACTTACTGTCAGCTAGCAAGGCTGTCACATAATCAACCTTTTCATTGTTGACAGTAAGTTGGATGTTGTAAATGGTTTCAATATCAAACGAACAGATACTTGTACATTAGCAAAATACAAAAGTACATCTCCGCACCACAAGAAAAAACTACTTTGCACAAACATTACATGAACCAAACCGGTTTTATACACCCTCCTAAAAACCTACATTAACCCGGTTAGCATACACTTTTACAAACAAAAATCGTTTCTAACTTGGTTCATCCACCAAATTCCGCTTCTAAGTTTTCCCTAATATCAAATGTAAAATCAGTAAGCAAACAAACATAGCCATCTTCTCGATGGATATCATATCTTCTACCATTCAAGGCCTTATATGCCATATTTACTGTTCGGTTTCTTCGGTCGCCCTGATCGTCTAGTTTCGCTTTGTCCACTCGCTCCCGTGTTCGCATCACTTGCCTTAGCTGATCTCGGAGGACTTCCAGGAGGAAATGGTCTTGGAACTTCGGAAGCTTCTAGCCAATCAGAGACTCCCGGAAGAGGATTAAAGACAGCTGCGTAAACTCCTCGAAAACTCTCTGTCTTGTAGAAGTCATTTACATACTGCAAATGGTCAAAGTTCAGCCTCCTGCAAACAGCTATCACGTGTGAACACGGATACTTGTAAACTTGCCATGTCTGACACGTGCAAACCCGATCGCTGCAGTGAACAAAAAATTTCTTGTTTGCAGGTTGCATCACTTTTGTGACCTGAAACCTCTCTGGAGTCTGGTCTAATGGCAATACATCGTGTGTTCTAGAGGCTAACTTGTACTCTTCAAGCTTTGTCATGACATGTGTAGCGTAGACCTCTCCTCTATTCTTCAGTGATTCGTCGAGAAAACCAAGTCGAGTTTTGAAAAGCTCTGCCAGGTGATCAAAGATTAGCAAGATGCATGCTGTGATTGGAAGATCACGAGCTTTGTTTATGAAACTGTAATTCGCAAAGATTAAGTTTGTAGTCATGATCCCGAATCTCAGCCTGTCACTATCATGAGCCAGAGCCCATTGATGCAGAGGTATTTGGTCTAACCATTTCCGAGCCTCCGGATTCATCTCTTCAATTTTCTTCAAGTAGTCATCGAAACTTGATATGTACTTTGTGGATCCAGCCTTGTAAACAAACTCTGTCATGAGATTGTTATTGAAAACATCATAAAATTTGAAGCACAGATGCCTAAGACAGAACCGGTGTTGCGCCCACTGAAACTCAGGTTCCTTAACAACTGAAATTATGGCAGGATTCGGACTTGTTATTAGACAAAGGCCTTCCCTTTGCGTTACTTTCTTCCTGATGCACATAAAGAACCAACGCCAAGTATCAACAGACAAACTTTCTTGGGTAGTAATGGCAAACGCAAGTGGGAAAAGGCTGTTTTCGGCATCTAATCCTGCTGCAACCAACATTTTCCCGGGGTATCTACCACTCAAGTCCACCGTATCCACCAAAATGAGAGGTCTGCAGTGAGAAAACCCTTCAACTGACTGCTGAAACGCCCAAAATACAGAACGAAAGGATGAATCCTTGGGATCAGGAAAAGCATCGCATTGCCAATCTAAAACCATCTTATTAGATGAGCAGAGAGCAGCCATTAACTTGGGCAATACGCTAAAACTCTTGTCCAAATCTCCCAAGATTGTAGTGATCGCTTTCTTTTTAGCATTCCACATATTATCACCCAAGACTGTGTAGCCAAACTCTTTTTTCACCCATTTGCTCAGCTCTGTAATTGAGAGTGAGGGATGAGCCTTTATTAGACCTTCGATCTCACCTGCAAGAAAATCTGCGCCCACATCTACTGGCTTACAAGTATGTGGATCTGTATATTCTGTTATCTCTAAGCCACCGCTCTTCGTTTCAGCTGCATTGAGAACCCACCCGCAGACTTTCCTTTTTTTGCACATGAATACAAGCCTATCTTCATACGCAATGTACTCACGTTGTCTTCTATTTGAATACAACTCCACTGCTTTCTCCAGTTCATCTTTATCTATAAAAATCATCCCAACATGCAACTCACGTTCATCGAGCCATGAACTAGAGAAAATCACTTGCTTTGAGACACTATCCCTGAGGCCTTTTGTTAGACCTGGCTTTTTCATCCGGGAATCCTTCTGTGCAACTGCATTATCAACACCAATTCCACAGTCTCCGTCATCCGTATTCTCCTCATCTTCAAGCCACCCGTTACTATTACCCTTCTGCGGAGTTCCTAATGTGTCATCTCTCACACTGCCATCAACATTAGTATCCCCTTGCCGAGAACGCTTTCGGGTCGCCTGATCAGAAACCGGTTTGACCTCTAAATACAAATCCACATTATTGATAGAAGGATAGTGACTTAGAACCTCAAGCATTATCTCCAAACTACAATCATCCACAATGGGCAAACGCACATACTTGACCATCTGTTGTTGAACAACGGAAGGGTACCTACCAATCAAATCAATCTGAAACTTTCCCTTTTCAAAACCAGTAAGTAGATGCAGATCATCCAACAACTGGGATAGTTCAATTTTGCTATCAACTCTGATTACTCTTGGACTTGATCCTTCGTAGAATGGACCATCATAACCATCTTTGATACAACCATTCCAATAACAAAACACTGTAACCTTTCTTGTATCCATGAGCACCACAAACCTTGAGAAAACGCAAAGAAACACAAAAATCAATCAAAGGTTTTGACTTTAAACAACCAAAGCCATATTCTTGATTCTAAACAAGAAACACTAAAACGATAACAGTCTTATACAATAGTAAAGGAGAAAGATAAACCCTAATCTTTAACACAAGAAAAATTATGGAATGCGATAACTTTGGAACTGAGAGAGGATAAAAAGAAAAACAATGTTAGTGATTCTTAGTGCATAAGAAACCCTAAAGAACAGTTTCATAAAGAATAAAGCTTTCGAAATGAGAAACCCAGTGAAAGGAAAAACCCTAAATTCTTCAAAATTTGTCGAATCGAAGGAATTGGGAGGATAAAGATGAAAATGGCTCACTTGCAGAAGAATCTTTTACCCGAAATTGAACGTCTTCCGCCGCCGGTTCCGGTGAATTCGTCGGAGAAGAAAAAAACACTGACTTTAATCCTTGGGCAACGACGATGATTCAGTTGTTAACGAAATATCTGATGTTTTTCTCTTGCTAAAATTCCTGAAAAAGCCCTCTATTTTCTAACCAATATCAAAAAATGCCCAAACTTGTTTTTATTACTTTTTTTTGTCAACAGCTTTATTGGATTGGCTCCAATTAGCCAATGTGTAGGAATGTTGTTTACATAAGTAGAAAGATGCGGTAAGGTACGAACATTTCGTGCCAGTTTATCCGCTTTCACATTCAAATTTCGTGAAATTAGCGATAAAGAGAAAAATTCAAACTCTTCTTTGTCGCTTTGAATCGCCTCCAAGTAAGTCGTGAACGCTGGCCACTCTTGCGGGGAAGACACCATCTTCACAAGGTCGGAGCAGTCTGTAAGGAAAGCTACTTCTCTTTTGTCTTGGCCGATCATACATCTCATCGCCCAGATTAGTGCTTCAACCTCTGTGTGGAGTGAGGTCAAGCTTCTTCGAGTATTTGCAGCTCCCATGTCGTGCGTTACTTCATTTGGATAAGAACAAAACCATCCTAACCCCGAAAAACAATCGCTTTCTTTCCAAGAACCATCTAAGCAACAGCGATAAACTGATCCACGTTGCTCGATATGTTCAACTCTAATAGGAGGTTGATTATTTGTTACCACCGTTTCTAGGTTATCATCCGAGATCTCTACCTGGGGCAACTGCCAAGCTTGCTCTTCATTTTCTGCCAATCTTAAAATATCAGTTGGGCTTTGGTCCAAATTATTAAATACCTTGTCATTCCTGGCTTTCCACAAATACCAAATAATCCATGGAAACATCGCAGTATAGACCTCTGATGGTGTTCTCCAAAATAAGTAATCCATATTAACATATAGGGATCCTGATGGAAAAATATCAGGTGCTGTTGGAATTTGTGATAAAGCCCAAGTCTGACGCGCAGGTGGACATTCAAAGAGTGCATGGTTAATTGTCTCTTCTGAAGCCCCACACCGATCACATCTCGTATCGCAATTAATACCTCTCTTACGCAGATTTGAGGTAACCGAAACACACCCAGTTAAGGCTTGCCACAAAAAATGTTGAACTTTTGGCGGACATTTTATTTTCCAAGTAAATGCTTGAAGCGGTTTAATGTCTGGTCCGAATTCTTGCAAAACGGAATCCTTCCCAATATTTAGACGGGCCGTATGATATCCTGATTTAACCGTATATTGACCCGATTTAGTAAAATGCCATCCCAAAACATCTGGATTTGATAATTTACCCAGGGGTATAGCGTTAATCAAAAGGACATCCTCTGGAGTGACAACAGCTTTTAGCATATCTATATTCCAGGAGTTTGTTCGCATATCGATAAGATTTTTAACTCGTAGCAACGGTTCCGAAAAAGAACCATTGCTTTTTGCTGGTCTCGGGAATTGAGCTGGGAGCCATGGGTCCTCCCATACTGAAATGGAGTCCCCAGAACCAACTCTTTTAATAAGTCCTTTATTAACCAGAGATCTAGCTGAAACAATACTTCTCCACCCATAGGATGGAGAGTATGATTTAATTGGATCCATAGGATCCGACTTCCTGTAATACCTTCCTTTAAAAACCTTCGCAAAGAGCGAATCAGGCACCGAAATTAACCTCCATAGTTGTTTTGCTAATAAAGCTGTATTAAAATCGTCGACATTCCGAAATCCCACCCCCCCATTGGCTTTGCTATGACACATCTTATTCCAAGCAAGCCAATGCATCCCTCCTGTTTGACCATTTTAACTCCACCAAAAATTAGCTATTGCACTCGTTAGTTTCGAGGTGATCGTTTTGGGGAGTCGAAAACAGGACATAACGTAAGTCGGTAAGGCAGCGGCCACTGATTTAATCATCACCTCTTTTCCCCCCTTCGATAAAAATTTAGCTGACCAACCATTTACCCTATTTTGTAGCTTGTCTCTCACAAAAGAAAATATTTTTGTTTTTGATCCTCCCAGGCTTTCTGGTAACCCAAGATATGATCCCATGCCACCCATCTTTGTAATACCCAAAACCATCTTCACCTCTGTTTGTACCTCTTCTACAACTGTATGACCAAACTGAAGAGATGATTTGTCGAAATTGATCTGTTGACCCGACACCATCTCATATTGTCGAAGGATTCCTAAGATTGCCCCACTTTGCTCTTTATTTGCCTTACAAAAAAATAAACTATCATCTGCAAAAAGCAAATGAGAAACCGCTGGGCTGGGCGTTGCCACCTTGATACCAGTTATTACCTTATCTTCTTCCGCTTTCTTGATATTTGCAATCAAAACCTCTGTACAGAGGATGAATAAATATGGCGATAGTGGATCTCCTTGCCGTAAACCACGCTCAGGAACTATCAGCCCTCTAGGTTGTCCGTTGAGGAGCACCCTGTATTGGACAGATTTTATGCACCACATCATCCACATTATCCATTTTTCACAAAATCCCATTTTTCGCAACAAGTTCTCTATAAAATCCCATTCTACCCGATCATAAGCCTTACTCATATCTGTTTTAATAGCCATAAATTTTTCTTTACATGACGGATTTGTGCGGAGAGCGTGGAACATCTCTTGCGCAATAAGAATATTATCAGAGATCAATCTACCTTCAACAAAAGCCGATTGAGTCTCTGATATCAATCTTGGGAGCACCGTCTTAAGCCTTTGACAAAGTATCTTCGATATAACTTTGTATCCCACATTACAGAGACTTATAGGTCTCAATTCCGTCATCCTAGTTGGTCTCTCCGTTTTAGGGATAAGACAAATATTCGTCACGTTTAACCTTTTATCAAAACTACCTTCCTGGAGGAAGGAATTTACCAACTGGAGTAGGTCCACCTTGACCGTATTCCAAGCCTTCTGAAAAAACAATGCCGTCATCCCATCTGGACCCGGTGCCTTTTCCGGATGCATCATAAAAAGAGCATCACGTACTTCCTTCTCAGTTGCGGGAGCCGTTAAAAATTCATTTACTTGATCTGTGATTGTAGTTTTAACCTCTTTTAACGAACTCTAAAAATCTCGGGGGTTCGTTGATGTGAAAAGATTTTTAAAATAGGAAACCGCTATATGTTGGATATTTTTATCCTCATCCGACCATATTCCGTTTTCGTCATGGAGCCCGATAATCCTATTTCGAGCTCGACGTTGTTTTGTGAGTGCATGGAAATATTTGGAATTATGATCCCCATCCCGCCTCCACAAGCTCCGACTTTTTTGATACCAATATATTTCCTCTTCTCGATAAGCCTCTCGCAACCGTATTGTTAAATCTTTTATCACCTCAGGCGATTGACCATCATCATTTTGTGCTGCCTCTAGCTCGACTTTAAGTTCTTCAATAGATTTTCGCCCATAAGAAGTTAAATTTTTCCTCCATTTCGAAATCGCACGCCGGCAATTCGTCACTTTTTCTACAAAATTTCCTTCTCCCAAATTCCCCTCTAATTGCCAACCATCAGAGATTGTTTCTAACAATCCCTCTTTTCCAATCCACCTTTTATCAAAACGAAAGTTTTGCCTACCTCGGGGAACCTTATCCGCAATCGTCGCCACCACAGGTTTGTGATCCGAAACGACCATTGGCAAGTACTCAATAAAAGAATTACAAAACAAATCATGCCAATCTTCATTGGCTAAGGCTCTATCCAGACGACATCGAATCGGTTTCTTATCTCTCCACCCACGCCACGACAAGAAATTACCAATATGCGGAAACTCAAGTAACCCGCAGTCTCTAATCATCAAATTAAATGGAATAAATGATGAAGCATGTCTTAATTTACCACCTCTTTTTTCGTGATTCCCTTTTAATTCATTAAAATCGCCTATTAAAAACCAAGGTTTGTCACGAGTCAAACCGATACGTGTTAAACGTTCCCAAACTTGTTCTCTGTTTTTCGGGACCGGATCCCCATAAACAAAAGTAAGACAAATTGTCTTACCCTTTACCACCGCTTCGATATCAATTAACCGATTACTTTCATAAATAATAGAAACATTAAAGTCATTATTATAATAAAGAGCTAAACCGCCACTACAACCGATAGGATCAACCGTTTTTAAATTTTTATAACCAAAATGACCAACAAATTTTTCCATAAATAAAGAAGATTGCTTTGTTTCCGAAAGAAACAAAAAATCTGGCCGATGTTGTTTCCACAAATCCCGAAGATACCCGATAGTTGCCTTGTTTCCGAGACCTTGACAATTCCAGCTTAAAACTTTCATTTATCAACCTTTGGTTTAGGTGGGTTGCATCCACCTGTGAAACTCTTCACCGTACCATGATGCGTCGAGTTATGGCCTGCACTCCCTTGATTAATCTTTAGAAAAACCCAATCACAATTGACTCTAAATATTTTTACCCTTATAGTATCCACATCCAACCATGAAAAACCGAAAATCCAACCGTAGTAAAACCGTTTGTTACAACCACTGAAGCTCCACTCCATACATTCAAAGTCCAAAGACAATCGACCAACATCATACCTCTTAGAAAAATTCCGCCCACCCACAATAGTCCATGGAAGAGTAATCAAGGACCTCCCACTTCTATCACCGGAAAACCAATTGTTAAACGCTCGTTGAATTCTAACGAGTATAGTCTTTTTGTAAATATAATTATCTCGTGATTTCCACTTCTCCATATAGTTTACAGCTTTATTAAATCCAACATAATCCACGTGAATATAAAACTGAGTACTTTGAGAAATACCTTCCCCATAAGAGTCTGCCAACCATGTAGCAGTTAGAGTACCATTATCCGATTTCGATTCATCACAGCCCCTAGCTTGAGTTGAGATTCTCCTATAATCCAATCCATTTGTTTCCCTCACGACCCTCAACTCAAATCTCCCCCATCTATTAATCAAGTTGCTCCATAAAGCAAATCCTTGTGAAACCATCAGCCTTAAAGCCCATATCCAAGACTGTGACTGTTCCAACCACCTCCAAACCACACCTTTCGGACCACCAAAACCTGAAATTATCTCCCCTGCAACCACACCACCACTTAATTCCTTTAGCACCGAAAACTCAACCCCACACACAACCATATGAGAACCACCTAAAACCCCGAAAATCACAATGCTCTGAAACTTGTATCTTTCCCCGTCACCTTCACCGGCCCTCTTGCCGGCCACATCTCCTCCGGTCCCTGAATTCGTGAAACCCCTACCCAGAGCTTTACCTCCGACAAACTGAAGACACCATCGTTTGCCTGTGAATCGATGCGCACCGCTCCGCTTATCCTTTCCACTTGAAACCATCGCTCCGCTTTCAACTCCGAAAAAGATTGGACTTACGCAGTTCCAATTAAACCACAATCCACCGGAAAAACCAGACACCCAGCTACCACCGGAATAACCAGACACCCAGCTACCCCATCGAATAGACTCTTCTTCACTTACAGTAACCACATCAAAACACCCAAATCTTAGACCAAATCTCACACCAATCACCCATAAAGGGTCCTCGCATTCAAACCACGAAACCAGATCCACCGTTAACCGTAAAAACAAGCACATAGCCGGGTCAAAACCCTAGCGCCGCCGCCATCGCCATCGTCGAGTCGAGAGCGTTTCTTTTTTTTCTTGGAAATATTACTAAACTTGTTTTTATTACACTTAATGCCCAAACATTTTGCACAGTTCTATTTTTACTCTTGTCTAAAAGAAATTTCAGGTTGGCTTCCACAAAACCAGCCCGAGTCTCCTTTAAATTCTCGGTTTAGGCATAAACAAAAAGATATCGTGAAAACTGAAACAAAACGAACAAAATACTATACAAATATAATAACATCATCAACACAAAAGTTAACCTACTATGTCCAGACATCACAGGAATTTTAAACCAAACCGGTTTCATACAACCTCCCAAAAAACCAACACTAAACCGGTTAGCTTATCTTACGAACAAAAAATCGTTACTACTTGGTTCAACATCCATCAACTTCTCTAGCCGCTTTTTTGTACATATTAAACCAAACTAAATCGATGTAAAATCAGTTAACAACCCGAACCATCTTCAACATTTAGTTCGGTTTGGTTCAACATTTCGGACCTTCTTTTTACCGGTATTGGATTGCTTTTGGCCTACGGTAACCTTGCTTGGCTGAGTTGATATCGGACGACTTCCAGGAGGAAACAATCTTGGAACTTCAGAAGCTTCTGGCCAATCAGAGACTCCCGGAAGCGGTTCGAAATCAGCTGCGTAAACTGCAAGAGAACTTTCTGTACTATAACAGTCATTAACATACTGCAAATGATCAATGTTCAGCCTCCTGCAAACCGCTAACACGTGTGAACATGGAAACTTGTAACGTTGCCATATTCCACAAGTGCAAACCTGATCATTGAGATGAACAACAAATCTTGTTTTTCTAACTTGCATCACTTCCGTGACCTGAAACTTCTCCCCCGTCTGGTCTAGTGGCAATACATCGTGCGTTCTAGAAGCTTCCTTACATTCTTCAAAAATTTCCATGACATATTTGGAGTATCGGTCTCCTCCATTCAGTGATTCCCCAGGAAGACCACGCCGAGATTTGAAAAGCTCTGTCAGGTGATCAAATATTAGCAAGATGCAGGTTGTAATTGGAAGATCTGATGGGGCATTGTTTATGAAATTATATGTCCACGATATTGTGTTTGTATTCATGATCCCGAATCTCAGCCCGTCACTATCGTGAGCCAAAGTCCATTGATGCGGAGGTATTTTGTTTAACCATTTTCGAGCCTCCGGGTTTATCTTTTCAATTTCCTTCAAGTAGTAAACTAAATTTGATATGGACCTCGCAGATCCAGCTTTGTAAACAAACTCTGTCATGAGATTGTTCTGAAAAGCATCATAAAATTTTAAGCACATATGCCTAAGACAGAACCGGTGATGTGCCCACTGACACTCAGGTTCTTTAACAACTGCAACTATGTCAGGATTCGGACTTGTTATTAGACAAAGGCCTTCCCTTTGCGTCACTTTCTTTCTGATGCACGCAAAGAACCAACGCCAAGTATCAGCTGACAAACTTTCTTGGGTAGTAATCGCAAATGCAAGTGGGAAAAGCCTGGTTTCAGCATCAACTCCGGCTGCAACCAACATTTTCCCAGAGTATTTACCGCTCAAGTCAACTGTATCCACCATGATGACAGGACTGCAGTGAGCGAATCCTTCAATTGACTGCTGAAACGCCCAAAACACGGAACGAAAGGATGCATCTTTGGGATCAGGAAAAGGATCATATTGCCATTCTAAGAGCATCTTGTTAGACGAGCTAAGGGCAGCCATGAACTTGGGCAATACGCTAAAACTCTTGTCCAAATTTCCCAAGATTACAGTGATCGCTTTCTTTTTAGCATTCCACATATTAGCATGCGAGACTGTGTATCCAAATTCGTCTTTCACCCACTTGTTCAGCTCTGCAATTGAGCGCGAGGGCTGAGCCTTTATTAGACCTTCGATCTCACCTGCCAGAAAATCTGAGCCCACATCTGCTGGCTTACAAGTATGCGGACCTGTGTATTCTGTTATCTTAAACCTATTTCCATTCGTTTTAGCTGCCTTCAGAGTCCATCCGCAATAGTTCTTGCACTGGAATGCATAGAGATATTCATATTTACTGTACTCTCGTTGCCTTCTATTAGAGTACAACTTCACTGCTTTCTCCAGCTCATCTTCACCTCTAAAAATCATCCCAACATGTAATTCACTTTCATCGAGCCATGGACTAGAGAAAATCAACTGCTTCGAGACACTATCGCTGACACCTTTCGTTGGAGTTGGCTTTTTCATTTTCGAATCCTTCTGTGCAACCCCATTATCACCACAGTTTCCGACATCCGTACTCTCTTCATCTTCAATCCACCCATTATGGTTATCCTCCGGCGGACTTCTTAGTTTAGTGTTTCTCACACTCACATTTACATCTGCATTGACACTACTAGCATCCTCTTGCCGACAACGCTTTCGGGGCACATTAGTTTCCAATGGCGACTGATGAGATATAGGAACAGTAACTTCATCAGAAAACGGTTTGATCTCTAAATACAACTCCAGATTGTTGATAGATGGATGGTAACTTGGAACCTCAAGCATCATCTCCAAACTACAATCATCCACAATGGGCAAACGCACATACTTGACCATCTGTGGTTGAACAATGGAACATGGAAGGGTACCTACCAATCAAATCAATCTGAAACTTTCCCTTTTCAAAACCAGTAAGTAGATGCAGATCATCCAACAATCTGGATAGTTCGATTTTGCTATCAACTCTGATCCCTCTTGGACTTGACCCTTCATAGAACGGACCATCAGGACCATCTTTAATACACCCATTCCAATAACAGAACACCGGAATCTTTCTTGTATCCATGAACACCACAAAACCTTCAAATAGAAACAAAATAAATTATGGGTTTCAATCGGAATAACCAAAGCCACATTCATGATTTGAGAAACCCTAGATCTCAATTGCAGAAGGTAACAGTAGCAGCAACAATACGACATGGAAGACAACAATAAAGGAGAAAGCTTTTTAGTAGAGAAGGTGATTCAATAAACCCTAAAGATTTGATTTTTTTAAAAAAAATTTTTGCAAAATGCGACATATATGAACTGTGACTGTTAGTGAGGTTAAAGACAACAATTTTTTACTTAGCTACTGTGAAAAATGGTCACTTGCAGAAGAGTGTTTGTGTAGTTTTACCTGTTCTTCCGCCGCTGGCTTCGGTGATTTCGTCGGCAAAAGACAACACTTTTGGTAATTTTTTCTCGTAGGTAACGACGGTGTGTCGACGAGAAAGTGATTTCATTTTACATAAAGCTATTTGGGGTTAAAAAAAAAATATTAGACAAAAGAAGAAAAATGTTCATTTAATATGCTCTTTTAGTATATTGAAATATTGCTGACAAAGAAGAAAATGAAATGAATAATAACAGAATGTTTCTCATTACTCACTAGTAAATATACTTCAAATTTCAGATAAAGATGATAATAAAAAACCCATAAACATATCGTACAGATGAAAAAAGTAGATATTTTAGACATTTTTATTAAAATTAAAACAAGAAGAAGAAACAAACAGATATAAGAGCATAAACAGGTGCTGAAGCATACGAATCTTTGTTTAGCCCATGGCATACTTCTGAGTCCAGTTTCTTGCAGTAGCCTCGTATTTGGCTCTGTCGGTTTTGTACATGTGTGCAATCTCTGGCACCAACGGGTCATCTGGATTTGGATCTGTCAACAGCGAACATATCGAGAGCAACACCTACCAATTGCATAATCATTTCCATTATAGTAACTTAGACGATGATGAGAGCTTACTATATTTTTGGAACATTCAACAACCAATGCTTGTGAATTGAAAACATTTTTACATTTCTAAGCAAGGTCCTAGCTGAAAATGTAGATGATCTTGCTATACTTTTGATTTTTTGGAACATAAACAACATTGAAGAACCGATATTTCTGAAAAATGAGAGTCACCTTGGAAATGGTGAGAGCGGGGCTCCATTGTTCTTTCAAAATGTCAAGGCAAATGCTCCCATTGCTGTTGATATTAGGGTGAAACACCTTTGTCCTAAATGCAACCTACGATAAAAACAACACAACAAAAACAAGTGTCAAGATTAAGTATTGATTTGATTTGGGGGCAAATACAAGTTTTAGGTCCAAGAATTTCAAGGAAAAGTTTATAAATACCAATCTACTAAGCTTTTTTAGGAACTCTTCTTACTAAACCTAAAGTTCCAATATTAAATACCTTTGGAGGTTTGAATGGGTAGTCAGGAGGGAAGTGAATGGTAACGAGAAACACACCGCCTGAATACGGACTCTCTGCAGGACCCATTATTGTAGCTTGCCAATGAAACATGTCTTCAGCAACTGGACCTATGATATTAATGCAACTCAATTTCTTCAGTCTCTTAGATTAGCAAAATCCAACACATAAGCAAAAAACACCACAAACCAAAAGAAGGATTCTACATTTCTCAACTCTTCTAACTCTGATTAGTCTAGTAATTAGAGAAAAAGTAACAACTAATAAACCGAGATTCGTTACATAATCTTAGATAAACTGATAAACATAAGCCAAAACATAAGTAAACAACACCACAACGCAAAGAAGGATTCTATATTTCTAAACTCGTCTAACTCTAATCAGTCTAACAAATTAGAGAACACTAACTTACCCTTTGTGATCTATATAACACTAAAATATATGACATAAGCTCTAATTACCAGATTTGTGAGCATAAACAATAGATAATCAGAGATAAAGTAATGGATCCAACAACTAAAAGAAAGATTTGAGATTTTAGAAGTAAACCTGCACTACAGGAGGTTGGAGGGTCTTTCTGGAGATCCTTCAGCTCCTTCAAGATCCGTTTCGACGCCATTTTCTCACTGAAAAATCCCTAAAAAAACTAATCCAAGTTAACCCTAGATCAATCCAGCTCAAATCCAGAAACTTTTCTAATCCAGCTTTTTGAATTCCTACAAAAGAAACAAGCTTTTTCTCTTGTGGGTTAATCAAAAGGAGAAAGCTTTATTTACCTCAGAAAGAATCCTCCAAATTCGGTTTTGTGATTCACTCCTGCAGATAGATGCTTAGAAGAAAGCAAAACCAAAGAGAAAGTTTTGGTTTTTATGCTTAAAGAAACGCAAGAGAATTATTTTTAATTGGATAAAATATGATTTATTTTAGTAATAATGGCTGCTTAGGAAATATCTGTATAATTTAAATATTATAATATTTTTTAAAGAGAAAATTTTTATGAAGGGTGGGCTATATTTCATTTGACCCCACTTAGATTCCTAATGATTCTGGATCACGATGAACTTTTAAATTGTAAAATTGTCCTCTTTGGTACATATATTCTCTATTTTCCTGATTAAACTATAGCCAAGTGTAGAGATATGAACGGTTGAAAATATTTTTAGTTATAAATAAATAACCAATGAAGGAAACATAATTTAATGAAATTTTATCTAGTTTTTGTGACATGATTATTTTCAATCTCTATCTAAAACTGTAATGTTATATGATCCTAATTTATCCATACCAATTAGGCAATTACATTATCAGCAGTATGTACATCTTATTTATTTAATAAATTCAATTAATACAAAGAAAATTTATATGGTGTTGTAAATGAATTTTAAATTATGAGAAAACCCCCAAAACTGCAAAGCATATAATTAAAAAGAAACGGAAAAAAGTAAATATCTTTAAATTTTCTAATCACACTAGTTGAATGTCATATGTCGTCATAGTGGGATTTGTATTACTGCAAATGACTAAAATGAACAATAATCAACGAATTAGTTATGGACAACTGAAAAGATAGGCATATGCAGGGAAAAGGGGATTTTCATACCCGTACTATCGGGACCGTGGATTTTTATACCTCGACATTTTTGTAGTGTATTTTCCAACCCAAACTGAAATAAAATTTGAATTTCATACATGTATTTGATAAATCGTGCAAAAAACGGAGTCAATCTAACGGGTGTTAGTCAACTCCGTTACGATGCTGAGTCATCGTACACGTGTACGCTGACGTGTATCCCATACGACGTCGTTTTGATAATTGTTCTCAAAAGTTTAAATTTTTTGCAAAATCGGGGATTCGAACCCGTGTCCCTTGGCCCAACATCGAGCACCTTTACCAACTCATCCCACAACTCTAATCGAACATTCCCCAATCATTTTAAGTTATAAACCTTAATAGTTGTGTGTTTGGAAATAAACCAAACGACGCCGTTTTCAAACCGGTTATCAAATTCGAAGAGTTAACGAATTCCGGCGAAGATCTACCGGAAAACTGCGCCGTTTGTTTATACGAATTCGAAGGAGAGCAAGAGATCCGGTGGCTGAGAAATTGCAGACATATATTTCACCGGAGCTGTCTTGACCGTTGGATGGATCATGATCAGAAGACGTGTCCACTTTGTAGAACACCGTTTGTTCCAGATGAGATGCAAGAAGAGTTTAATCAACGGCTATGGGCTGCTTCTGGTGTTCATGATTTTCACTGTCCCGTGACCGAATTATTATAGAAGAACCACGCTTTTCTATCTTTTTTTCTGAGAAGAAGAAGATGAAATTAGAAATCGATTTGGGAAAATTCGCAACCCTAGAATTCTTATTTTTTCCCCAATTGAAAACGACGTCGTTTGGTTTATTTCCAAAGACACAACTATTAAGGTTTATAAATAAAAATGATTGGGAAATGTTCGATTAGAGTTGTGGGATGAGTTGGTAAAGGTGCTCGATGTTGGGCCAAGGGACACAGGTTCGATTCCCCGATTTTGCAAAAAATTTAAACTTTTGAGAACAATTATCAAAACGACGTCGTATGGGATACACGTCAGCGTACACGTGTACGATGACTCAGCATCGTAACGGAGTTGACTAACACCCGTTAGATTGACTCCGTTTTTTGAACGATTTATCAAATACATGTATGAAATTCAGATTTTATTTCAGTTTGGGTTGGAAAATACACTACAAAAATGTCGAGGTATAAAAATCCACGGTCCCGATAGTACGGGTATGAAAATCCCCTTTTCCCGGCATATGCATTAAGATAACTGGATCTGGTATAGTTCGGTTTAGATCAATTTCGATATTTCAATTTGAGTCGGTATAGTTCGGTTAATGTATGCACTCTTTTAAGAAGAAAAATGTATTCTCTTGCTTTTCTCTTGCTTTTCTTGTCATAACACTCCCACCCGTCAACAAGCTCTCTCACCTTTTTCTCCTCCGCCGCTACCAAAATTTGCAGTGGGAATTCTCAGATGAGAGCCGTAATTCAAAGTTTTTCCTTTTGTCTTCCTCGAATTCTCCTACCATAGATGGAGACTGTGTTTGCTTTTGGGTTGTTTTCCGGTGATAGCATCTTCGAATCAGTGGTGGTTTTGGAATGGAGAAAGTTTCATCACGGAGGTCTACTTATCTGGAAGCTCTTACTCTGGAGGTTTTCCTTTTTCCTAATTTCAGTGTGATTTCTCTAATTCGGGACACATTTCATTAGATTAACGAATTTTGATATCCTAAATACTGTAGGAATTCGTACCGGTTTATAACGATTTATAAATACTAATTACGAATTTAATTGCCAGGAACCGTGTAAATAAAGAATTAAATCTAGATCTTAGGGTTTGAATATACCTGGATATTCTGCAGCGGAAAGGTGAACCATATTAATTCGAGGTTGTTTTAGCACCCCAAGTGTTGTGCCTCTACCGGTATCCACACGCACACAAACTGGATCAGAGAGGATGCTAGTCCCGTTGAGATCTAATCTCAAAACTTAGACAAACAATTTGTCTCTTATGTTTAGGGTTTGGCTGCTCAAAGACTTATCTTATAAACGTTGCTATGTATTAATATATATAGCTATACGTTTGACCTAACTTACTTAGGTTTAGTTAATGGGCTAAAAGCCCAATCACTTATTAATCTCTACGTATAAGAGAAAGTCATTTGCCTTTTATTTTACTTCAACGTGCATATAAACACACACATGCATATCGTATATGACATGTATATTTATTATGTTAATTCTTTTTCTTTTAAATGCACAAATATAAATATATGTATATCTCATATATACTTATATTATATTATTATTAAACCCAACATATTATTGATCCAGTCTGCTTAGGTGTGTGACCCTGTAGGTTCGTATAATATTAGTAATGAGTTTATAAACCCATAGATTATAAGCGGTCTCTAGCAAAACATTATAACCACCTAACATTATACGAATGCCAAACCTCGACATTACAACTTTAACTAGAGTAAAGTACAACTGATTTCAGGACATTCCCAACAATCTCCCACTTGTACTGGAATCATCTATTCCCATAATCCCTTCGTCTCTATATCTCGATCTCAGCATAAGGCAAGAAATTGTCATCCTTATTAAGCTAGACCATGTTTATCGAACTCCAATTTATACTGATAAAAACAAACGACTGACATTCACCTCGTTTGAGCGCGGCCACGCATTTCTCAGTATCAAATCTTCGATAGGCCCAGAGATATTTATCTCCCGTTATATGGGAGGGACAAATCCCATCTTGTTCCATCCCTGTTCCTTATACAATTCATAACGCGCCCAATCACTGTCTTTATAATCACCTTTTACGGCTGACGTTTGACAGAGTCAAAGCGAATTAATCCATGAGTAAGAAATCATGACGAACTCAGGTCAAAGGACTATACTCTATAGTTGTGATGAGAAACTCTTATGACATTCATATAACAATCTTGTAGAGTTCTCATAACGGGTCAGTCCAATACTGTGTTCTCTAACACATATCTATGTGATTGACTTTAATACCACATATTAATGACTCCATGAAACGTAGTCATCAGTCACCTCACATACTAGTCATTCTTAGTTATTAATGTCCCATTTTAATAACCTTGACTAGGGACTTCAATAATTTATGTCATTTTTTTCACTTAAAGGGTTTCATGATCAAGTCACGTACTTGATGACCTATAAGAATGATATAAATTATTTTGGGACTATTATTTAATTATCCAATAAATAAATAATACTGAAACAAATTTCATTAATTTGAAAATAAATTCAAATGTATTTTAACATGAACATCATATCATAAATAAAAACCTCCCACTAGAAATAAGATCACATCTTTATAAATCTAATGCCAATCGCAGCAGTATGACTCTCATGCTTAGGCTGCGGAAGAGGTTTTGTAAAAGGATCAGCAACATTTGCATCCGTTGGAACTCTGCTAATCTTCACATCACCTCTATCAATAATCTCACGAATGAGGTGATATCGCCTTTGTATGTGTTTGGATTTCTGGTGTGATCTAGGTTCTTTCGCTTGAGCGATGGCTCCATTGTTATCACAGTAAAGATCGATGGGGCCAGAAATACTAGGAACCACACCAAGTTCAGTAATGAACTTCCTGATCCAAACAGCCTCCTTAGCCGCTTCAGAAGCAGCTATATACTCAGCCTCAGTTGTAGAATCTGCCACAGTGCTCTGTTTGGAACTCTTCCAGCTCACTGCTCCTCCGTTGAGACAAAAGACAAATCCTGATTGAGATCGGAAATCATCTTTGTCTGTCTGAAAGCTGGCATCGGTATAACCACTCACAACAAGTTCCTCACTTCCTCCATAGACCAAAAACTTATCCTTAGTTCTTCTCAAGTACTTAAGGATGTTCTTGACTACTATCCAGTGACTTTCACCTGGATCAGACTGGTATCTGCTCGTCATGCTCAAAGCACAAGCAACATCTGGGCGAGTGCAGAGCATAGCATACATGATAGATCCTATAGCAGAAGCATATGGAATCTTACTCATCCGCTCTCGCTCATCTTGTGTCGAAGGACACTGAGTCTTGCTAAGAGTTATGCCATGAGACATTGGTATAAAGCCTTTCTTAGAATCATGCATATTGAACCTATGCAAAACCTTATCTATATAAGTGTCTTGACTTAGTCCAATTATTTTGTTCAATCTATCTCTATAGATCCTTATTCCAAGAATATAGGCAGCTTCTCCCAAGTCTTTCATCGAGAAACAACTTCCAAGCCAAGTCTTGACAGACTGGAGCAAGGGAATGTCATTTCCAAGGAGCAGTATGTCATCTACATACAATACCAGAAATGCGACTGCGCTCCCACTAGTCTTCTTGTAAACACAAGGTTCTTCTTCGTTTCTAATGAAATCAAACTCTTTGATTGCCTCATTAAAACGAAGATTCCAACTCCGTGATGCTTGCTTCAATCCATAAATGGAACGATGAAGCTTGCATACCTTCCTAGCAGCTTCAGGAACAGTGAAACCTTCGGGCTGTGTCATGTACACATCCTCTTCAAGATTTCCATTAAGGAAAGCTGTTTTCACATCCATTTGCCAAATCTCATATTCATAATGAGCAGCAGTTGCTAGGAGAATCCGAATGGACTTAAGCATCGCAACTGGTGAATAGGTTTCATCATAGTCAATACCATGAATTTGCTTGTAACCTTTCGCCACCAGTCTAGCTTTGTATATCTGTATATTACCATCCATGTCAATTTTCTTCTTGAAAATCCATTTACACTCAATGGCTTTTACACCATCAGGTAAATCAACCAAAGTCCATACTTTGTTTTGTGACATGGATTCCATCTCGGATTTCGCGGCCTCTAACCACTTATCGGAATCGGGGCCCATCATTGCTTCTTCGTATGACGTAGGTTCATCACTCTCTATAATCAATAGATCATGATCATCCGTCACCCAATCTCCAAATCTATCGGGTTCGTGACGGTTCCTTTCGGACCTACGTACCTCAGGTTCCACAGGTGTAGATTCTACGACTCTTCGTAGATCTAACTGATGTTCTTCCTGAGAAGTTGGAACATCCTCCTGTGGTTCTCGAACTTCTTCGAGTAACACTTTACTCCCACTAGTTCCTTTTGAAAGAAACTCCCTTTCCAAAAAGGCTCCATTTCGAGCAACAAACACTTTGTTGTCAGTTGGATGGTAGAAGTAATAACCTTTGGTCTCTTTAGGATAACCTACGAAGTAGCATTTATCAGATTTGGGTCCAAGCTTATCAGTAATCAACCGTTTGACATAAGCTTCACAACCCCAAATTTTGAGAAAAGATAAATTAGGAACTTTTCCAGTCCATATCTCATATGGTGTCTTTTCAACTGATTTTGATGGACATCTGTTTAGCATAAACGCAGACGTCTCTAGAGCATATCCCCAAAAGGATATTGGAAGATCAGCGTGACTCATCATCGATCGAACCATATCCAATAAAGTTCGATTTCTCCTTTCGGACACACCATTCCACTGTGGTGTTCCTGGAGGAGTGAGCTGTGAAACAATTCCACACTCTCTTAGATGATCACTAAAATCTTGGCTTAAATATTCTCCTCCACGATCTGATCGAAGAGCTTTAATTGATTTGCCAAGTTGATTTTGTACTTCATTCTGGAACTCCTTGAACTTTTCAAAGGATTCCGACTTATGTTTCATTAGATAAACATAACCATATCTACTGAAGTCATCAGTAAATGTAATGAAGTACTGATGATTTCCTCTGGCGCTTGTGCTCATTGGCCCACATACATCTGTATGTATAAGGCCCAATAAGTCACTAGCCCTCTCACTGTGTCCAGTAAATGGGGCCTTAGTCATTTTTCCCAACAAACAAGATTCACATGTCTCATAAGATTCATAATCGAATGAGTTCAAAAGTCCATCACTATGAAGCTTTTGAATGCGTTTCTCGTTTATATGGCCCAAACGACAATGCCAGAGAAAAGTTGGATTCAAGTCATTAGACTTAAATCTCTTGGTACGAATGTTATAGACTGGCATGGTTTGGTTTAGAACATAAAGCCCATTCTCTAATGGAGCGCTACCATAAAACATATCATCTCGATCAAATGAACAACATTTGTTCTTGATCGAAAAGTGAAAACCTTCCATGTCCAAACATGAAACGGAGATGATATTCTTGTTTATAGCAGGAACATAGTAGCAGTTCTTAAGCTCCAAAACCATGCCTGAAGGTAAAGACAACGAATATGTTCCCACGGCTAATGCAGAAACTTTTGCTCCATTGGCCACACGTAGGTCCACTTGTCCTTCCTCCAAAGTTCTACTGTTGTTTAGGCCATGCACATTTACACAAATGTGAGCACCACAACCGGTATCCAATACCCAAGGAGTAGAACCAGAAGTAGTAACATTTACTTCTATAACATAGATACCCGAAGAAGAGACCTTGAAAGTTTTCTTCTTCTCCAGATCTTCCAAGTTGTCAAGAGGGTTTGATCCATTCAATTTGTCCTTCTCAAGAACATCTCGAAATGAATAGGAACTTTGAGGGTTTGACATAACTGACGAAAAAGAAAAGCAGAAATTAATATGATGTTCATAAATTTTAGAATTCTCAACAATTAAGAAAACTAACACTATACTCAAAACAAAATTTCCTCTAATGAGTACAATGATCCAAGATCCATATTTCACTAGAATCCAAGTGAGCTTTGGCTCCACCCCTGAATATCTAGCTATTTAGGTAAGCAACACCTTGCTAATTATATCCAATATAATTCTTGGTTGTGGATGACATCTTATGTCTTATCCAACTCTATGTCTCTAAGCCCAAAACCGTTTTGATAGCCTAGTCAAGTAAACCAATTTTATTTCATATGGTAACCGTTACCATCTGTCTCACTCTTAAACAATTGCAGACCGCTGCTTTGGCAGACCCGCCATACAACAATTCAAGTTTTAACAGTTGATAAAATTGGGGAGACATCAAATACTTGATATTAATTGAGGAATTAATTTTATAACTCAATTTTATATTTAAATTTATAAAAATATAACTAATACATATCTAATATGTAATTAATTGAATTATAAACAATTTAACTAATTTTAATCAAATTAAAATAATTAAATATTTAGAAAATTAATCTTAATTAAATTTCAATATTTCTAATCAGATTAGAGTATATTATAATCGAACTTATCCTAATCGAATTAAGATTTATCCAATTATTATAATGATAATTATGATTATGATCAAATCAAAATCCACGACTATTGATTTTTCCTTCTCAAAAAGATAAATCCAAAGCCAAATATATTATTATTATACTTATGGTAATCGATGAGGAACAATTCCAAATCAAAAATTATACTTATGATTTCACGTAACTAATTTTGGAACAATTCCAAAGCAAGTAAAGAATCTCATTTTTACCCATAACGTGATCTACATATATTATATAAAATATTTAGTTCTAACTACTTTAATCAGAATAAATATACGAACGTATATATATATACATAGTTCTTATTATCATATTTAACAATTAAATATCTATAACTATAATACACATACGAACGTGTTCTAGTTGTCATAATCCAATTATGATATAAGAACAAACCGGTTCAATCTATGAATATAATATATGTTTTACGAACGTACATCTCATATACAAAACATGTTCGTTTAGGCTAATTATATAATTTCGTTTTTATCTTATGCTTTACCAATTAAATTTCATAAATTTAAACAAGCTCAAACAAATTACAATTATTCATCTATATCAAAATATAGATTAAACTAGATTCAAATTCAGTATTAATCACGTAGGCTCTGATACCACTGTAGGAATTCGTACCGGTTTATAACGATTTATAAATACTAATTACGAATTTAATTGCCAGGAACCGTGTAAATAAAGAATTAAATCTAGATCTTAGGGTTTGAATATACCTGGATATTCTGCAGCGGAAAGGTGAACCATATTAATTCGAGGTTGTTTTAGCACCCCAAGTGTTGTGCCTCTACCGGTATCCACACGCACACAAACTGGATCAGAGAGGATGCTAGTCCCGTTGAGATCTAATCTCAAAACTTAGACAAACAATTTGTCTCTTATGTTTAGGGTTTGGCTGCTCAAAGACTTATCTTATAAACGTTGCTATGTATCAATATATATATAGCTATACGTTTGACCTAATTTACTTAGGTTTAGTTAATGGGCTAAAAGCCCAATCACTTATTAATCTCTACGTATAAGAGAAAGTCATTTGCCTTTTATTTTACTTCAACGTGCATATAAACACACACATGCATATCGTATATGACATGTATATTTATTATGTTAATTCTTTTTCTTTTAAATGCACAAATATAAATATATGTATATCTCATATATACTTATATTATATTATTATTAAACCCAACATATTATTGATCCAGTCTGCTTAGGTGTGTGACCCTGTAGGTTCGTATAATATTAGTAATGAGTTTATAAACCCATAGATTATAAGCGGTCTCTAGCAAAACATTATAACCACCTAACATTATACGAATGCCAAACCTCGACATTACAACTTTAACTAGAGTACAACTGATTTCAGGACATTCCCAACACTTATTTTTGTTACGATTTTAAATCTCTACTGTTTTAGAATCTGATTTCTGGACTTTGGTCATTCTTCAAAATCCCTAAATTTCCCCTAATTTTGACCTTGGGAGATATCCACAGGTGGAGATTGGACATGGTCTCTTGGTTTTAATCGGAATTCAAGAGCAAACAAGAAGAAGAAGAAGAAGCATGATTGGCCTCTTTAGCAGGTACCAATGAAAGCCCAGCCCAAACAAATAAATATAATTTCCTTATTGTTTTCTTCTATAAATAAACGTAGCTCTCGCTTAGGGTTATTTTATTTTATATCTTGTTGCTTGCTCCCAACGGACTCTTTCGGGAAATTTACATTAACCCTGTTTTCATCTTCTCCACGATGGCAAAAGCTAAATTTAAGGGTTTGTTTTTGGTGGCTCTGAGCTTTCGTATCTAATGTGTTATATCAACTTACTTGGCTCAACAAGTTTTTGCTACTCTTCTTTTAGGTAAGCGAAAGGCGGAATATGATTTGGAGACCAAGCAACCCTTTCTCAAGAAACATAAGAAGAAAATATCCAAGGACAAGGTAACTAAGATTCTTCGGATACCTCTTCTTCTTTGAGATCAATTTTCTTTACACTGCCTTTTCTAATGGCTCCTACTCATGTAACAGGAGACAACCAAAGGACTTGCTGATAGTCTCCAGCAGAACGACTTGTTGGAGACAAACTCTGATCAGGCCAATTTAATTTCAGTCAAGGTTTAATTTTTTAACATTTAACTATTCTACTGTTTGTTGCATATATTGTACATGTTTTATGTTTCATTAAGCTACTATTTTGTTGTTGTTATGCAATTTAAGACTTGGCTGTTAAATTCAGGAAGCTGCCGTAAGAAAAAAGACGCTCTTTGTTGCCAATCTCAATTACGAAACTAAAATACCAAATATGTAAGTAGCACCTTTAATTTCTTCTTTTGTTCCCGGAGCAATTTTTTCATGACTGATATTTTTACCCTCTACTTTTGCAGCATCGATTTCTTCAAAAAGGTTGGAGAAGTTGTTCGTGTTCGACTTATTGTAAATCTCAAGGGTAAGCTTGTGGGCTGTGGCTTTGTTGAGTTTGCTTCTTCTAAAGAAGCAAAGAAGGTGAGAGTAATTTATTGTAATGATGAAAAGTCATTTGAAAAGTAGTTTGTACTTATGATGAAAATCTTTTATACTGTAGGCGCTGCGAAAGAAGAACGGTGAATATTTGCTCGATAATAAGATTTTTCTTGATGTGGCTAATAAGAAAGCTACATACCTTCCACCCAAGTAAATTGATTTATGTTTTGGAGATTTTTTTATGTAACACTGGTTTTAACTTATTTCTAGAGTTTTGATTTCCATTACAGAAGACTAACGCTATTATTTTCTGTTAATTAGGTACTGCATAGATCACAAGGTTTGGTAAGGAATTTTACTATTTGCCTTTTGAGTGTGTTATCAAGAGCACATTAGGTGAAGTTTTTGGTATACATGGAGAGATAACAAAGGCTTTTTTGATATTCCAGGTACAAAGACTACAGTAGAGGAGATTGCCTTCCGATAGAAGAAGATGAGACACCTCCCGAATTTGATGAGGTACCTGTTCTTATTATTATCTTCAAAATATGTCAGGCTCAAAAGAAACGCTGATAACAGAACTGTTGCCACAAAGTCGAAACATGACTTATTTTGGGGATGAATCTTCAGATGAGGCTACTTTTTGTTGATATGCAATTTAAATCCTTTCCTCCTTATAATCGTGCTAACACACTTGGTTGTTAAATTTCAGAAAGTACTCTTTGTTTCCAATCTCTCTCCCCAAACTAAAATATCAGATATGTAAGTAGCACCTTAAATTTCCACATTCTTTCTCGGAGCAAGTATTTTCATGACTGATATTTTACCCTCCACTTTTACAGCTTCGATTTCTTCAATTATGTTGGAGAAGTTGTTAGTGTTCGACTTATCGTAAACCATGAGGGTAAGCATGTGGGCTATGGCTTTGTTGAGTTTGCTTCTGCTAACTTAACAAAAAAGGTAAGAGTAGTTTTGTAGTAATGATGAAAAATGTATTTAAGTAATTGAAAAGTAGTGTGCAGTTATTTGAAAGTCCGATAGCTTATTAAATCTATTATGTTGTAGGCACTGGAAAACAAGAATGGTGAATATTTGCACAATCATAAGATTTTTCTTGATGTGGCTAAGACAGCTCCATACCCTCCACGACCCAAGTAAATTGACTTTCCATGTTTTGGAGATTTTTTTCTGTAACACTGATTGTAACTTGTTAACACTATTATTTTTTGTTAATTAGGTACAACCTTGCAGAGAAGTTTTGGTAAGGGATTTAACTATATGCCTTATCAGGAGCACATTGGGTGAAGTTTTTGGTATACATAGAGAGATCACTAAGGTTTTTGATATTTCAGTTACGAAGACTACCTTCGACGAGAAAGCCTTCCGTTAGAAGAAGATCAGACACCTCCTGATTTTGTTGAGGTACATGTTCTTATTACCTTTAAAATATGTCAGGCTCAGATGAAACGTTTAGCGTTTAATAACAGAACTGTCGCTACAAAGACGAAAAATGTGACTTGGGGATGAGTCTTTAGATGTGGCTACTTTTTGTTGTTATGCAATTTAAGTCCTTTTCTCCTAAGAGTCGTGCTCACACACTTTGCTTTAAATTCAGGCAGTTGGCGTAAGTACAAAGACGCTCTTTGTTGCCCATCTCTCTCGTAAAACTGAAATATCGCATATGTAAGTAGCACATTAATTTCCTCTTTCATTCTTGGAGCAAGTTTTTCATGAAACTAACATTTTCTTCTCCGTTTTTACAGCATAAATTTCTTCAAAGATGTTGGAGAAGTTGTTCATGTTCGACTTATTCTAAACCACAATGGCAAGCATTTGGGCTGTGGCTTTGTAGAGTTCGGTTCTGCTAACGAAGCAAAGAAGGTGAGAGTAGTTTACAGTAGTGATGATAAATATTTAAGTAGTCATTTGAAAAGTACGATTGCTGATTAAATCTTTTATACTGTAGGCATATGAAAAGAAAAACGGTGAAAATTTGAACGATTGCAAGATTTTTCTTGAAGTGGCTAAGATTGCTCCATACCCTCCACCCAAGTAAATTGATTTTCCATGTTATGAAGATTTGTTTATGTGACTCTGGTTGTAACTTATTCCTAGAGTTTTGATGCCAATATAGAAGACTAACACTATTACTTTTGTTAATTAGGTATTGCATAGATCACAAGGTTTGGTAAGTGATTTAACTATTTGCATCTTGAGTTTATTATCAAAAGCACATTGGCTGAAGTATTTGGTCTACATGGAGAGATCACAAGGAATATTTGATATGCCAGGTACGAAGACTACCTTCAACGAGAAAGCCTTCTGATAGAAGAAAATGAGGCAGTGGAAGGACTTGATGAACCTCCCGTTTTTGTTGAGGTGCCCTTCTTATTATCTTCAAAATACCTCAGGCTCAGAGGAAACGCTTAGCGTTTAATAACAGAAATGTTGCCATAAATTCGAAAGATGACTTATTTTGGGGATGAATCTTTCAGATGAGGCTACTTTTTGTTGTTAGGCAATTTAAGTCCTTTTCTCCTTAAGAGTCATGCTAACACACTTGGCTGTTAAATTCAGGAAGTTGCCGTAAGAAAAAAGACGCTCTTTGTTGCCAATCTCTCTCACAAAACTAAAATATCACATATGTAAGTAGCACCTTTAATTTCCTCTTTCGTTCTTGAAGCAAGTTGTTCATGACTGAATTGTAGCCTCCATTTTGACAGCATCAAGTTCTTCAAAGATGTTGGAGAAGTTTTTCGTGTTCGACTTATTGTAAACCACAGGGGTGAGCATGTGGGTTGTGGCTTTGTTGAGTTTGCTTCTGCTAACGAAGCAAAGAAGGTGAGAGTAGTTTATAGTAATGCTAAAAACTAAAAAGTATTGAAGTAGTCATTTCGAAAGTAGTGTATACTTATGATGAAAAATATACTAGTAGTTATTTGAAAGTAGGATTACTCATTCAATCTTTTATACCGTAGGCGCTGCAAAAGAAGAATGGTGAAAATTTGCGCAGTCATAAGATTTTTCTTGACGTGGTTGCGTTAGCTCCATACCCTCTTCGACCCAAGTAAATTGATTCTCCATATGGAGATTTGTTTCTATAACTTATTACTCTAGTTTTGATGTCATTACAAAAGATTAATGCTATTTTTTTTTTGTTAATTAGGTATAACCTTGCAGAGAAGCTTTGGTAAGGGATTTAACTATTTGCCTTTCGATAGCACATTGGGTGATGTTTTTGGTATACACGGAGAGATAACAAGTTTTTTTTTATATTCCAGGCACGAACGAGAAAGCCTTCTGAAGAAACAGAAGGCATCTAAGTTGCTGAGCGAGATGAGCGAATTCTGCGGTACGAAGATTATCTTCTCTTACGACGATGACGAAGACGACTGATAGAAGAAGATGAAGCTCTTTGGTGTTTGTTTTTTCTTATGTTCTAGATAAGTTTTTGTCTAAATGTACACGTTAAACAATTGGCTTAATTTTGAATGTTTTGATGTTAAATCATTATCTGCCTTGACTGATTTTGTTGTCAATAACCATAATCTCCCGAGGGACACAAATTTATTTTTCTCATATTCTCAGTTTCTCACCAATTCGATTTGCCAAAATTTTAATTAGGAAAACAGAATAGAAAAGATTAAAAAGTAGAAAAAAAATGTTATCTTTCGAAAATTAAGAATATAAGCAAGGTCGGTTAGAAATTAGAACCCTCTATATCATTCAGAGACTTGAAGTCTTGAACGCTAACTTTAAGAAGGCCTTTAGGGTTAGAAAAAACTCCGCAACCGAAGAGAAACTCTGAGATCGGAATCAATGGAGTCTACAATTTCGTTGAAGGTGAAAGGAAAAGGCAAAGGATCAAAGGGAGCTTCGTCTTCCGATGACAAATCCAAGTATCAGGTCGTTAAGGAATGGACCAATTGGTCATTGAGGAAGGCTAAAGTCGCGACTCACTATGGCTTCATCCCTCTGGTCATCTTCATCGGCATGAACTCCGATCCCAAACCTCATCTCTTCCAGCTCCTTAGCCCTGTTTGATCCATCCGATTTCCATCATCAACGAAGCTTTAGATCAATCGAATCGAATCGATCTTCTCCTGTGGTTTGGCTTCGTCATATCTCTATGCGTGTTCTTAGATTCGCCGAATCTTCTTTATGCTTTTTTTCATTAGCTAGTTTTGAAATACTTTCTCTGTGGTTCTGTATTGAATAACTTTAGCTTATGATATTAATGTGAAATCGAATTTTGTGTTTTGAATTTCATTAGTAATGTTTGAAATAATGCTTTAAAGATTGAAGTTTGTTGGAATGTCTTGTATCAATTTTACAATATGTGTTATATGAGGTCGATCTTGAGGTTTCAAGGCGACACAAGCCAAACCTATTTGCAACAACTCAACCATCTCTTCTTCTATATCCATTTGCCTCATTAGCTCGATGTCGAATACTTCTCCTGTCCACTCTTTCGATACCACCGACCTTATCCAGCTTGCCAAGTCCATGTTTTCGTCTGTTGATAGCGGACTGGCTGGAGATTTTCCTGTTAGAAGCTCGAGTAACACTACCCCGAAGCTGTATATATCAGAGAACTGTGTGGACTTTCTTGTATCTGTTATCTCAGGTGCGTGGTAACCTGAAGAACGTAAGGTAGTCTGAGGGAGAGATTTCATGATGGGTGTTAAGCCGAGATCGCATATGCAGCCATAGCATTGCGAGTTCATGAAGATATTGGAGGATTTGATATTGCCATGGATAAACTTCCCGTCGTCTGCTTCATGGATAATAGACAACCCTCTTGCTGCACCAATGGCGATTTTTAACCGGGACTCCCAATCTAAAGGTACTCGGTTCTCTACTTTATCCCCTGCAAAAGTTGAGTTCTTGGTTTTTAAGGCAGATCAAAGAAGTATAGACCAAGGTATAAAGTAAGATAGCTTACCGTGCAGCATCTCGAATAGGTTTCCTTGACTGTAATAGCTATAAACAGCGAGCTTATCGATCTTGGAATAGTAGTAGGCTTTAAGCTCAGCTACATTATCATGCCTGATTCGACCAACGATCTCCATTTGTTGCTCAAACTCTCGTCTTCCCACAACCACCTCTTCCAACCTCTTCACTACTACCGTGGCCGTGTCCTCCACAGCTACTTTGTAGGTTGTGACATAAGCACCTTTCCCCAAAATTTCTGCAGATGCAGCTAACAAATCATCCAAATCAAAGGTATAGTTACTTCCTCCAAAGAATACGATTTTCCCTTCAACATCATCATCTTCTGGTGCCCAGTTACCAGGAGGAGACAAATCTCTCTTCTTCGACTTCCATGAGAGTTTACCTTTCATGCGCCTTTTCTTTCGCAAGCAACAAGTCATCATCTCTCGCACGTTGCACTCAGAATGTTTAACAAGAAAGCAATCCCTTGTAGAAGTAATTTAAAGCGTCAAGATCGAAATCAAAAGTTCTCCAAGGCTATAAGCTTGGTCAAACCTGGTAGAGAGCTTAGGATGATGCTCTCTCCAATGGGACCAAGAGCCGGTTATGTTGACTCTCCGGTAGAGAGGAAACAAAGAATCGAGAAACTCTGATTCTTACTTCTCAACAAGTCAAACAAAGGTTTCATCGTCTTGTCATCGTCTTCAAAGAGCTCTTTGTTTCCCACAAAGCAGAAAATCCAAAAAGATATAATCTCAGCCATTGTTGAAAAAGGTTTGGTCTCTATCTGTAACAGAGAATCTTTTGTAACAGAAGAAAATTGTATTTTAGTTAAAAGATAATCATTTAAAAATGAGAGTAGAAAAGATACGCCGGTCGTTAAGCCGGCAAAAATCTTCGTTATAGTAATATCTTAAGTGAACAAGCATGGTTTTAGCCGCAAACACATCGTGATCATTTTCTTCTTCCATTAAATTTTCTCAGAAGAGGAAAAACAAAAAAAATTGAATTTTGCCGAGATGATACTTTTTTTTTCCATTTTCCATTTTTGTTTTGTTTAAATATTTAAATATTAATTAAATATTCATCAAAGCAGAGTGGCGCAGCGGAAGCGTGGTGGGCCCATAACCCACAGGTCCCAGGATCGAAACCTGGCTCTGCTACACTTTTTCTGATTTTATCAGTATTAAACTGGTTTAGTGTGGTTCAGATCGGACCAATTCAACTCGGTTAACCAAAACCGAAAGTTCCAAATTTTAAACTATAAGAAACCAAAACGACGTCGTAATAGTGAGCGTCATCTTCACCTAACAAAAGCTCTTCACCAGTTTGTTAAGTCAGCCTTAGTTTGTCTCTTGGCTCCATCGACGAGTCCGTCACTTTCACCGTATAAAATAAATATCTCCGCCACTCTCTTCCCATCACCACCAACCTCCGTCAAAAACCCTAACCTCTATCGCTATCTCTCTCTCTATCGCTATCTCTCAACAATGGAGTCCGCCGCTCTATCTCGCATCGGTCTCGCCGGTCTTGCGGTCATGGGACAAAACCTCGCTCTAAACATCGCCGAGAAAGGATTCCCAATCTCCGTCTACAATCGAACCACTTCCAAAGTCGACGAAACCCTAGATCGTGCCTCCGACGAAGGAAAACTCCCAGTCGCTGGTCAATACTCGCCTCGCGATTTCGTTCTCTCGATCCAACGGCCTAGATCCGTTATCATCCTTGTCAAAGCCGGTGCTCCCGTTGACCAAACAATCTCCGCTCTCTCCGAATACATGGAGCCTGGTGATTGTATCATCGACGGTGGAAATGAGTGGTATCAGAACACAGAACGAAGAATCGTTGAAGCTGAGAAGAAAGGATTGCTTTATTTAGGTATGGGAGTCTCCGGTGGTGAAGAAGGTGCTCGTAATGGTCCTTCGCTTATGCCTGGTGGATCTTTCACTGCGTATAATAATGTTAAAGATATTCTTGAGAAAGTTGCTGCTCAAGTTGAAGATGGTCCTTGTGTTACTTATATTGGAGAAGGTGGATCTGGGAATTTTGTGAAAATGGTTCATAATGGGATTGAATATGGTGATATGCAGCTGATTTCCGAGGCGTATGATGTGTTGAAGAACGTTGGTGGATTGAGTAATGATGAATTGGCTGATATCTTCACGGAGTGGAATCGAGGTGAGCTTGAGAGTTTCTTGGTTGAGATTACTTCGGATATATTTAGGGTTAAGGATGATTATGGTGATGGAGAGTTAGTGGATAAGATTTTGGATAAGACTGGTATGAAAGGTACCGGGAAATGGACGGTTCAGCAGGCGGCTGAGCTTTCTGTTGCGGCGCCTACTATCGCTGCGTCTTTGGATTGTAGATACTTGAGTGGATTGAAGGATGAGAGGGAGAATGCTGCTAAAGTGTTGGAAGAAGCTGGTTTGAAGGAGGATATTGGTTCTGCTTCTCGTGGTGTTGATAAGAAGAGGTTGATTGATGATGTGAGGCAAGCTTTGTATGCTTCCAAGATCTGTAGTTATGCTCAAGGGATGAATCTGCTTAGGGCTAAGAGTTTAGAGAAAGGGTGGGACTTGAATCTGGGTGAAATGGCTAGGATTTGGAAAGGCGGGTGTATTATCAGGGCGGTTTTCTTGGACAGGATCAAGAAAGCTTATCTGAGAAACCCGAATTTGGCAAACTTAGTGGTTGATCCTGATTTTGCTAAAGAGATGGTTCAGAGGCAAGCTGCGTGGAGGAGAGTGGTGGGTCTTGCTATCTCTGCTGGGATAAGTACACCAGGAATGTGCGCAAGTTTAGCGTACTTCGACACTTATAGGCGTGCGAGATTACCTGCGAATCTGGTTCAGGCGCAGAGAGATCTCTTTGGAGCTCATACATATGAGAGAACCGATCGTCCTGGTGCATACCACACTGAATGGACTAAGCTTGCAAGGAAGAGTCAGTAAAGCATCGCCACAGTCCCTTAATTAAGGTTATTTTCTCTTTCACTCTGTCTTGTGCCTATTCAGTGTTTCCATGTTGTTGTGTAGGGCTTTGTTTCATCATTTCATCTTTTTGAAAAAGTTTCATGCTTTAGGTGGGCATAGAACACGAAAACAAATTGTTTCAGCGTATTTTTGTTGAGTTATAATAAGAAATGCTATGCCCTGACTCTGTATCTGTTGTTGATATCTGAAGAGTTTTTCTTTAATGTTCTGTTCTGGTTTGGTTCATATTTTGAATTTGAATTTGATATCTTGTTGAATTTTGAAAGCTCAAAGTCTTGATAATTCTTCGGCAGTCTTTGCTTGATGAATTATGTACGGTCTAAATGGCGCCAAAACTGAACAATAAAACGTATTGGGCTATTAGAGAAAAGAGCCCATTATTGTTTTATTAATATACGAATGTCAGGCCACAACTGTATCAACTATACAGTATTTTTCTTGTTTATGTTAAAACTTAAAAGACTATTTGTCTTGTTGGGTTCTAGCATTATTATTAACCCAACAGAAGTACACCTATCTATCTTACGGGGACACAGCTAAACCCATAATAAGACAACTGATCTCGTCGTGATTAAGTACGTGATTAAAAGTAGTTAACAAATCTTACTTTTATTTTTGTATAATAATATTTTGCTATATAAGTTGGTCCGTAAAACAACACTAGTTTCTAGTTTCTACCCCGTCTACAGAAAAAAATATGCTACTCAAAATGTAATTAAGTAATGTCGAAAACAGATGCCCAAAATGTAGTCAGTGTGTAGAAACTAGAGAAGGATTTGGGAGAAAACTCTTTTATTATATGTGTTATTGATCTCAAGAGAATTGATACAATATATATAGAGACTAATTTAGGTTTAACCTAATTAGAATAGGAAATAGATAAACATGAATAAGTAAATATTCTAAATCTCTTAATCCTTATCACAATAGGATATCTAGAATATTCTTCGGCTTGGGCTTCACGGGTTAACTTCATAAACGGACTTTGACGGTCCACAATAGTTGGTCCGCAAGATACACATCTTGCTCCCCAAGATATCTCCAATACTCCCCCGCACGACAAACGTGGTCCGCAAAACGCAAACTTTGCAATCACAAAGCGGAACACGTATGTCGTGGACAATACAACTCATGCCAACAAACGCCTCAGGGTATAAGCTTCAATTTTGAAAATAGGGGTGGAATTTTTGCTCGTCTTCGGTCTTGGTAAAAGGGAATACATCCCGTGGGCGCAAATTATGCTGCTCCACAAACAATCATCCTTATCTTGGATGGTCTATAACTCGACTAAACATGACCTAAAAACATGAGCTTTCCAATAAACTATACTAATGATTAAACTATAACCAAACTCCCACGTAATGGTAAAACTATTACCAAACTAAAAATACTTAACAAACTTGAGAAATTCAAAAAACTTAAGAATATATCCCAAGAAAACACATAAGTGACCCATGAAAATCGAAACCTCTTAAAGCCTTTTTTTTTTTTTTCCTCCATAAATCTCCCCACTAATCACTGCATGAAAAAATCAAAATCAATCCTACTAAAAACATAGGAAACCAACGACCTAAAGTTTTGGAAAAGTAATACCCATGTGATTAGAAACAATCACGTGACCTCCATCTCTTAAAGATGCCTACGTCTTCGTCGTCTTCATCTCCACCATCGGAGTCACCGTCTTCTCCTTCAGTGATCACCGTCTTCATGATCTTCTCTTAATCACAAGAACTCTAATGCGGAAGCTTTAATTCTGATCCACTAGAATCGACTGCTCTGATACCATGTAGAAACTAGAGAAGGATTTGGGAGAAAACTCTTTTATTATATGTGTTATTGATCTCAAGAGAATTGATACAATATATATAGAGACTAATTTAGGTTTAACCTAATTAGAATAGGAAATAGATAAACATGAATAAGTAAATATTCTAAATCTCTTAATCCTTATCACAATAGGATATCTAGAATATTCTTCGGCTTGGGCTTCACGGGTTAACTTCATAAACGGACTTTGACGGTCCACAATAGTTGGTCCGCAAGATACACATCTTGCTCCCCAAGATATCTCCAATACAGTGCCTTAGTGGTTCATCGATGCGGCATGTTCTTCCGTCAGGACATTCTTAAACCTTGCTTAAAGTTTCTCGGATATAGTTTGCAACACGAGAGGCTAATCAAGTTGTGCAAATTAAATAACATCGCCTTACAAGCGGTAGCTTCTCTTGCCCCTGTTATATATAACCTGGTTAAGTTCTGATTGTCCTTTATAGTCTCCAGTAGAGGTTGATAAACCAAACATGTAACCTTATATATGAGCCCTTAACAGAAGAAATCCACGAGGGATACTTGAAATCTGTATTCGTGAATTGTCTAGTTCATCATCTGATATTCTGATGTTACGGTGAGAGTCATCAGATTTAGACTATTTTCTACGAAATCAATTATTTGTTGCTCAATAATTACAAACAAACAAAAGATTCCTGGAAACATATGGCCCATGTTGGTTCTGGATTAGACAAATGAAATAACACAAAGGT